TTATTCCAAGCCTTCCAGAAAAGGGTGAATCACCAGACAGTTTATGGAGTCACTGTTCCCTGGGACAGTGTGCTGTTGGAGCAATGCAGGGCTCTACACGGGACAAAGCCTGGGAAAGCCCTAAAAGCCCAGTACAGCATCCCCAGCTGATGTAGCTGTTGATGTGCTGATATCCTCACGGAATGCCAAGTGCACTTTCCACTGTGAAACACCTGTAAGGTATTTCTTTGAAAAGCTCCTGTATCTCCAGGTTTCCTGGCAAGCCTTTGATGTGTGACTGAAGGCCTCAGAATAGTTCTTCCTCCAGAAAAACGTAGCCTTTCTAATAAAAAAGGCTATACTGAAGTCTTTGTCTTTTCTTTCAAATATCCTTTGTATTACAACACTAACGTTCATAACTGATTGTCTACAGAAGAAAATTAAGTCTAACACTATTTTTTACAGGTGTGTATATGAGAAAGATTTTCAGCAAACTGTCAAGAAGTTTTTGTAACACGTATTTTTACGATTTCATGTTTTGACCATAGCAAATGTAGTTCTGAATATGAAACGAAGCAGACTGAAATTTCATCTGCACACTTGGATCGATACCCTTTAAAATGTCTTTAGTATTTCTCCTGAGTTTTCACAAACAGAATTTACATTGTTTACAGTAATATCTATCCCAGCAAACTATCAAAACCTTTGGAGAATAGCATGATGGTATCTTTAGACTTTTTCAAAGTCACAGGCATGCCCATGCTAAGGTTGAAGAAACCCTCTCCTGTAGTTCTGTATAAAACTAGAAAGAGCAGCAACAGTAATGGAGAAAAAGTTTATGTCACAAAGTTTTCATTTTAACATGTTAATTCTTGATGATCTCAATATAGTTAAATACAATGGTATTGCCACATTCGAGGATGCATCTCATATTTACAAATCCTAAGTCAAGATTAATTTGATGACAATTACCAGCAACTGTATGTATTTAAGTTCATCATTTCCAAAAGAGACATTAATTACCCATCTCATATAAGCAAGTGCACACACAAAGTAGCTTTGCATGATCCTGTCACCTAAAGGGAAGAAAGTTTTTTTTTGTAACAGAAAGAAAGAAAAACAGAACTAAAACTTCAAGTGTACACAGTTACTCAGATTTGTGGAAGGAATCATGTCTATAAAAGTAGCTTTAATTTTCCTTTTCTCTTCCAGAAAAGTCTATATTCCTTCAGGGACTTGAAGGAAATATTTGCCATTAACCATTTAAAGTGCTGGTCACTTGTTAGGGAAAAGCAAATTAAAACAGGCAAGACCGTTATCTGAAAAGACTGCACAGCAGATGATACTGTAAAAGCACGCCCATTATCACCCCTCAGCGCCATTTACTTCGCAAAATAAAAGAAAATTTTAGCTCAGTATAACCTGACAATTCAGTAAAAAAAGGGGGGAAAAAAGTTTAAAAATCCTATGGCTAAATAGAGAAAGACAAACTCTAGGAGATGATTTTTACAAACTTGCCCATGTCACTGAAGACCTGTCCATACAAAGACAAACATTCTAGCAGTGAAATACACTGAAGGAGCCTCTGCAGCACCAACCCTCACACAGCAAGGAAATTCTGTAGCCGAAACTTCAAGAAGGCTCCATCTGCCAAAACCACTGTGTGCTTTTAATTAAGGGCATCCACAGAAATGTTTTAAGCAGAACACAGAAAGTTTCAGGGAGTGGTAAGAACACCAGGCTCTTGGTCATGCTTTCCACCCACCTCCCCAAACACAAATCCCACACAAAGTCATTACTCACTGCATGTACCTGTGCAGAACATGTATCCCACACTGGCCAAATGACCAACTCAAGGAACTGCTTTCAGCATCCAAAAAATACAAATATTTTCAGACTGATGTCATCAAATACATCACTCGAGTACTTCAACTCTACCTTAACTCTTTTTTACTGCTATTTAAGTACTACATGTTAGGTGATCAGTTTATTTTCCTGAATAAAACTGCATATCTAACAATTAGTTGCAGCAACCATTACCTTGGCTCCATTCTGGCATGAAGCGATGGAAAATAAAATTCATGCAGGATTTATATTTCAAAAATGTCAAAACAAGTTTTGAAGTAAGTAAAAACTTGTTATTTACCCTTCTGAAATTTTGCTTTAGTGGCTTTATAACCATTTAATATGCAACGAGTGACTAGTTCTAAATTTTAAATTTCTTTGTACTGAAACCTCGTGGACTGAAGAAACCCTTCATGAAGCCTCCTTCCACCTAACTTCAGAATTTATGCTTATATTATTCTTCCCTGCAATTTGGGAAGTTACTAGTTCTGTCACTGATTTGCAACACAGTGTCAGTTCTTTGCAAACCTGAAGTACCCCAAGACATTCAGCTACAAAGATGAAGATCAAAAGTCATACTGCCTGGTAGGTGTAGGACAGTGAAGTCGTCTTTCCCAAAGAAAATCATACAGATATGTGAAAACTCTACTAATTATTTATGTTCAAAGACAGTATCCTGTGACTGCTTCCAGGCTGCACTACTGCTAAATGCTCCAAATGGTGGCTTCTCTGATTGTTTCAGTTGGAATAAACTCAAAAGAAACAAGTAATAGGTTCCTTGTAACTAGTCACCTAGGGCTACCATTACATAAACCAGCTCCCAACACTTGCTCTTTCTCCCTTTTTCAGTATAAAGACCAAAAATAAGACTAAATGGGGTGACTTTTTAAGCCAGGAAGTACAAGCCTGCCATTTCTTATGCTGTTTTTCCCAATGAGCAACAGTGATTCAGTCCCATTAATAGCATTTTACACTGCTAGGACTGGCTTCTTGTTGGCAAGACAGGCTCCAACATCACAAGGTCAAAAAAGAATTTTGAATTATATTAGTGAAAGATGTCTGAAGGAGTTTCCATAGCCTCCAACTACTGAGAATCTATTTTCCACTTTTATACCGATAGTAAAGCAGAAATGGCACAAATTTGACTTCAAAATGTTACTTCTAAGTATATATCTATTAATACATAAAACGTTGACTGCACATCAGATTTATTTTGTACAATTAAACCTCTGCACCATAAAAAAATATCCATCCCAACATGCACTTAGACAGAAACTTCTAAAACTCAAGAAGTTTTAGACCTGGCATTTGCCACCTTTAAACGATGTCCAGGTATGACTCAGGAAAATGCCAGCATGACAATGAAGTGGCCAAGCACTGCCAGACCTCAGCCTAACACCCAATGTGTCTTTGATTTGCTACTGTGGACACACTGTCCACTGAGGGAAACCTTAGCTCCAGGTTGATGCAGAAGACACCTTTGGCAGATGCCTGGAAGGACACAGAGCACAGAGGGAAAGGGAAAATATCCCTGAGCTGCAAATCACAATAGAAGCTGACAACTGGAAACCCCTGCACAGAGGTTTTCCCACTGTGATGCTCCACCATCATCAGACTTCAATATAACAAACCTTCATACAATCTAAGAGAGAAGACAGAGCTTTACGATGGTCACACTAAAACAAATGTCAACAATCAGCTTGAGCAGATAAAGTAACTGGAAAAATGTGGGCTGCATTATCTAACTAGATGGCCCTTTATTTGACAGAAATAGAAAAATACGTTAAAAATATTGGAGATGTTTTATTCCCAATTACGTATCTTATTCAAAAAAGACAGAAAAAGACACGTATCTTCAGCCATACAAAAACATCTGAGAAATCAAAGGTTTTTTCCTTACTTCACCTAGTTTACCAGCCTGGAATCTGGTTTTTCCATTAGCTGAAAGTGAAGTGGCAGTGTTACAAGAAACATGAGACTACTCCCGTCTCAGTTTCCCAGTTTTAATCTCAGGCTATTTACAATGACCTTCTCTTTTCATTTTTGTTAGCAACTACTTAACAACACTCAAGTAGGCTGGTGACGGAGAAGAAACTGCTTCTCTTCTTCTGAGCTACTACAGCTCTATATTGTGATCCACAGTGTCCAAAGCAGCCCCCGGATTTAATTTGCCTATATTTCAGCAGCCAAAGTCCACATCATTAATGAAGCAGGAAGCAGCTCCAGAAGGTTTATGTTTGCTTTTGGGGTGAGCAGAGCTTGCAGACTATGCCCTTCAACAGAACCCATGGCTCCTTAGGGCTTTTTTCACCCCGCAGAACCACTGACATGACACATTTTCTGCTACAAGAGAACTGCGTTTCCCAGACCCCAGCACAGACAGGCACTTCGTGCAATCACAGACAGTGAGATGCTGCTGTGGAGAGAAGGGTGCAGTTTGCTGAGCATCAGCACAGCACTGCATTGTTTTTCTCTCTGCAGACAAAGCGTACAGAACCTTTCAGAACAGGCTGGTTTTGGCCCAGCTATAGGAACCTGCCTTGCTACATCCCTGCTAATAGGAGGTCATGACAGACTTGGAAGCTAAAATAGTGTGAAGCACAGGAGAGCAAACAGCAGGCACAAAATTGGAACTTAGAGGCTCCTTCAGCTATGAAAAGGCAGAAAAACCACGCTCCAGAGAGGCACGAGACCAGAATGCAGACAAAGGTGCTCCCAAACACACCAAAACCCAGCTAGAAAGCTGCTGAACGCGGGCACTGCGCCTTTCTCCTCAGGGAGCTGCACATGCACCCACCATTCCTCTCACAGCCAGCAGCGTGAAGCGAACGATTCCCCCGCGGGATGCGAACGCGGGCCAGCCGAGCCGGGACCGGCTCCGCTCCCTCAGCGCCGGCCCAAGATGGGTGACAGGGCGGCCGGAGGGTGCGGGAGGCGCGGGGATACCCGAGGCGGGCGCGGGGCGGTGTCACCGCCGCGGGGTGACAGCGCGGTCCCTCGGGGGGCGGCGGTGAGGAGGGGCCGAGCCCGGGGCTTCCCGCGGCCGTGAGGCGCCGCGGCCGGGGCGCGGGACACAGGCCCTACCGGAGCCTGCGCGGCCGAGGGCGACCCCCCAACGGGCGGGATGGCGGGCGGGGGTCGGGGCCGGGCTGTGCCCGCCGGCGCTCGGCGCTTACCGGGGCAGCCGCCGCCTCCTTCCCGCTGCTTCGCAGCCCCGGGTCCGGGGGCGCCGCGCGGGCCGGGCCGGCGGGAGGGGGGGGCGCGGAGGGGCGCGCGCACGGCAGGGACCCCTCCGCCCGCCTCCGCCCCGCCCCCTGGCGGCACCGCGCACGCGCCCTCCGCGCGCCCGCCCCGCGCCCGGGGGCCGTGAGGGGAAAGGGCGGGGCCGGCCCGCGCACGCGCCGCCCGCGCCCCGCCCTCACGGCCGGGCTGATCCGCACCTGAATCCCAGGAGCGCGGGATGCCGGCCTCAGGTAGGGAGGGACAGACCTTGAGGTGGCCGAGCCCAACCTGTGACCCAACACCACCGGGTCACCTAGAACATGGCCGTGAACTGATCGCCACGTTTCCGTAAACGCCTCCCGGCACGGTGATTCCATCGCCTCCCAGGGCAGCCTGTTCCGATGTCTGATTAATCCTGCTGTGCAGAAATTACTCCTCATATCCTACCTGAACCTCCCCTGGCGCCGCTTGAGGCCGTTTCCTCTCATCTCTTTTCCCGGGAGCAGACCGGGATCCCTCATGGCCGCTCCTGCTGTCAGGGAGTTGTGGAGGGACAGGAGGCCCCTCCGAGCCTCCTTTTCTCCAGGCCGAGCCCCCCCAGCTCCCTCAGCCGCTCCTCATCACACTTGTGCTCCAGATCCTTCCCCAGCTCCGTTGCTCGTTTGAGGGCGAGAGGGCGGCAACAGCCCCGGCCCAGGGCCCGCATCTGGGACTGGTGAAAAAATCAATTATTTTGTGGGGGTTTTTGAGGCGGGGGAATAAGCATGTATATTTTGAGCTCTGGCACCAAGCACGCACAGTGCAGGAAATGTGTGAGTGGGGGGCTGTGATCTTCTAAACGTGTGCCTTACTGTCCAGATCTATAATTGTAGCTTTTCATTCGAATGAGAAGTAGATGTTTAAATGTGTGTCGTGGCTTCAATGGGCTAGAGTTTTCTTCACTGTGTTCAGCACAAACCCAAAATATAGCCCGTACTAGCCACCTTGAAGAAAATTAACTCTACCCCAGCCAAAACCAGGACATTGTGGTAGGAAACAGATTTGCCTTCTTAGGTTACAAGAACTCATGTGCACGCAAGCTTTCGGAGTCTGAGCTCCCTTCAAACACACTAAACTAAGCTCAGCTTTGCAGCCCATCACTGTGCAGGATGTTTGACTTGTCACGAATAACCAGAAACTGAAGCTAATAACCCCAAATTGCAGCGTGGGTGCTTTGGTGGGAAGTACAGCAGTTTGTACTTACAGGCACTGGCTGGGAAGTGCTGTGAACACAGTAATGAAGAAAATGTGCTGATTTGACATATCTCTGTAAAAGTTTCCCTCTGTTTAGCTTAAAGCTTCTCTCCCAACAGCAACTCAGCTGTTTTAGCAAAAGAAACATTTCAGTGTAAGATTGAGTTGCGTGTTCTCCCTTGAGGTACATTCCTTCCTAGAATTCATAGGAATAGAATTCACAGGAATACGGAATTTAAAGGTTCCAGACTGGTAGGGCAAGTATGATTTACAATCGCTCATTATCTTCAGTGAAGTTAAATTTTTAATATTATAAATCAAAATAAAAGATCTCTCTATTATGTCAGAATTCCCTTTAAAACTGGCAGGATGTATGCTGCCAGATATTGCAACATAGTTTGATTTACATGGTGGGAAAATTTTTCTGTTTACGTGTCTTACAAAGTCAATTTTATTGAGATGTCTTTCCGTGTCCATTTCTTTGTCACTCTGCTTGCTCCTACCTGGCAGGTTGCACTCGTTTGACAGTGAAGTGCTCCTTCATGCTTAAGTAATAATCCTGATGTTTATTTTCCTACAGTCTGACCGATGCCATTCTGCTAGATTTTCTTCTCCATGACACCTTCAGCCAAATGTTGTCCTGTGTTTCTACCTTTGGATTGATTTTTAAGTTATCAGCTAAAAAATGGCATTTCAGTGGCACTACTTCTGTATTAGGATGTGAAAAGTGAGTGCATTTGTTTTGTATAATGTATTTCTCATGGTAGCCCACAAAGGGCTCAGCTTTCTGTTTTGCAGCAGGAAGCAGTCGCTCAGCTCAGTGAATTAACGAACAAGCTGCTAGCTGACAGTGCACATGCCTTGGATCTTCCTTCTGGAACTTTAAAGGTCACTGAAAAAAATGTGTAAAATTTCAGTATTGTGTGCTGTAATGTGTGCGAGAGTGGCTCAGCTGCCTGCTAGGAAAGCTTTCTCATTGTGCTTACCTTCTGGGCTCGGCTGCCCCAGAGGATCACGGCATCTCCATAACTGGAGGCTGCTAACAAAGAGCAGACAAAAGTCTCTCCAGAGTCAGGCAGGGAGGCTGACCGTGCCTCACACTGGCAGCTGTATCCCCAAGGCCACAGGGGAGCTGCTGCCCCAGGCAGCCCGTCCAAGCCTCGGGGCTGTCTGGAAATTGGAAAGACACTTGCTCAGGTGGAGCAATTTGCACAGAACATCCGTGGTTATTATACTCATGTTCTTTCTCATCCTGCTCCTGCCTTAGATTTCATTCTCTGCCTCTCATTCCAGGTGCCACAGGTGTGTGCTGCCTGCTTTGCTCAGGCCTGCACACCAGCTCACCTCGAGCCCGGGGCAGCTTTGCTCACTGGGGCCTTGAGTCAGGGAAAAGCACCCAGGGGAAGTGGCTGGGACGCCCCAGGCTGGCAGGCAGAGGAGAGCTGGACACGGTAGGAGCTGGTTGTGAGTGCAGGACACAATCCCTTCCAGGCTCATCAGTGGCTGCTGTTCCACATGGCTACACTTCAAGGGTTCACTTTCTGGGAGAGGCAGAACCATTTGGCAGAAGAATTCCACATTGAAGCTACTGGAAAACTATTTTATATTCTACAGCCACACCATGGTCTGAAGTATTAGTAATAGTCATTGAGTTTCCCCTTCTTTGCCCACTTCAGGATAGTTTTAAACACTGCAGTTACATTTTTATCTACTCCCAAAGTTGCAATGCAGCCCTGTAATTTTTGTGATCCACACTTAATGAAATGGGCTAGAGAGCTTTCAAGCAGGTGTCTTTTTATTGTAGAAAGGTTTATATATTATATTAAATTTGGACTATATTCAAACAAATGTACTTTAATTACATTAATAATTTAAACAATAATTAAATAAAGCACCGAGTTAACTTGATTTAAGTAACTGATTCAGCTTCCACACTGATTCCTACAGAATCCCACTAATTTCATGCAGTGTTTGAAGAACTGGAGGCCAGAGTTGATTTCTTAGTAAATACAAACTACAGTTCAAGTGCTCTGCACACAAATGGAAAGTTGACAAAGTCTGAGACAGGCTGGGTTTTGAAGCAGAACCCCTACAAAAGGATTCATCCAGATCTGAACATGGACTGGGTTACTCAGCTATTTCTCTACCTTCCCTGTAAACTATTTTCCACACACTGAAGTTGTTTCAGTTTAGTTCTCTGTACTAACCTCTAAATTTTAGGTGATACAGCTTTTACCTTGGAAAACAAAGAAACAGCAGTGTAAAATTCCATGCCCCAAGCAAACTCAGCTGAATGCAATTCACACATTCAGTGTAATGTAGCCCCACTTTTATCTAAATAAGACCAAAAGAACCTGACAACATAGATACAGGAGATTTTATTTAACATTGTGTACAAAGAAAGGCTACAAATGCCTTAAGACATTTTTCCCCCAAATACAGTTTTTGGATCCCTTTTTCATACCACTTTTCTCAGAAAGTTAAAAAAAAATCTAGAATGACAATTTTTCCCTTTCCCCTTCTCTTTGGGCCTAAACTGAGAGATGTTTAGTAGCATGGTTTCAACACCTTTCCATATTAAACTATTAGGATTTGGTTTTCTTTCCCCAAAACAGAGCACTAGGAGATACTGAAGCACTAGCAACAGCAGGATAAGATGTCAAAAACTGACTCCCTAACATGGTAGTGTTAAAATAATGCCAACAGTATTAGCTCTGATGAAACCCAAAATTATCCAAACAATAACAAGTTGTCTTCTACATCTGATAATTTAGGACTAATTATATAATTTAATTGTATTTATATTTAAATAAATAGTCTTAACTCCTTGGAATTCTTCATGGATTATAAACATAATACTAGAGATAAGAACAAACTACAAACTTACATAGGCAAGAGAAGGCTGAGTTTTGGTTTGTTTTTTTTTTTTCTGGACAGATACAGAAAGGACAACATTTCAGTGTCCTGCTGTGAGATAGTTTTTAAATTCACCATTTTATTGTGATGCTTTTCAGTTATCCCAACACAGTAATTCCTTACCCTCTTTTTGCTACCTTGGTAATCACTTCTAGTATTCCTGAAACATTGGTCCCTGCATAGCTAAGTTTTATCCAGGATTCTGCAAGTTTTGTATGTGGCTGTGAAACCCAAGACAATACTTCTCTTAGGCTGTGAGAAGCAGTAAAGAAGGCAGGGAGTAGGAAAGGCTCTTGTGGAGAAATGACCTTTTGCTATGGCAGCTTTTACATTGCCATCTACACATGAAATAGGTTTCAGATATAGATCGGTTTTCAGCTATTTATGTAATCCCAAATTAGCGTTGTCCTTGTTTCTCCCAAAATGGGACTAAAATAGAGGAATTTTGAGCTACTCTAGATGAGCATTTGATGACTTGGTTGGGTGCAGCAAGAAGGAACTCAGAGCTGCCTTCTGAGCCCCATCCCACTGCCCCAGGGGAGACGGCAGCACCCAAGCAGCAGCAAGGCCTCGGGGTCATCTCCAGGAAGCTGCTGCCGTCTCCTTGCAGGCAGGAAGCCGTTCTGTACACAAGCCTGCCCTTTTGTACATCCACAGGGATATCAAATGCTGTGTGGTATAAATCATTCTGCAGATTAGAGAAACGGTTCATCTGTAGAATGTCTCAGATTCTCAGAACATCCTACCACAGGGGAAAAGACCACAGCAGTTAAACAAGCAAAAGCTCTAGTGCAAAATAAAATTTTCTCTATTCTGGTGAACCATTTTTGACAAGAGGTTTTGAACGTGATTGTGATTAAGACAAAACAATAGAGCAAACACTTCTGCCAGGCTTGGGTACTCTGTAATTATATTAATTCCCAAATATGCTTGAACAACTGTAAATAATAGAATTTTACTTAGCTCATGACACAGCCCTGAGTGAGCCCAGAGCTTTAGCAGTACCTAGTCCACTCTGCACAAGAAGACTGGAAATATTTTAATTATCTCCAGGGCTCTGCTCTGTAGCTGTGCTACAAACTGAACCTCTTGGTGTGGTAGTTGCTGGAGTGCAGAAAGATGTGAAGTGGTTCTGTTGGGAAAGGAGGGGTCTGTCTTACTGTGAGATGAAGCATGACAGCAGGAAAAAAATTATGTAAAAACTGCTGCAGGTTTTGCAGTGGTCTCCAGCAATGTCACTGTAAGATGGTAGCACAAAGAGAATCAACAGTGGAGGCAAACTAGGTAATTTAATTATTTTCTAATTCTTGACACGAGCATTTAAGAATTTGCTTGTCCTGAGAGGCATAAATCCAATGATACGGTCACAGAAGGGAGAATCAAGACAACACATACACTCAGGTTTGTTTTGGTCCTACTGCCCCAACCCTTCTTGTCATTACAGCTGTTGTGGCATTTTATCCTTGCAGCCCAAAACCAGACTTCTAGCTTAAACAGCACTCCAGCTTTGTGGTTCTGGGAGCTTTTTACTCCCTCCTCATGGTGGTGGTTCATCTGTGTTAACATACAGGTGCTATAGCTGCTTCCTCGGGGGGAAATGGTAGAGAGCAAGAGATAAGCTTTGCTTTCTTAGCACTGAACTGTCAATGTTCACTGGCAAGAAACAGGGCTTGCAGCACATCAGAACTGTGAGGCTGCTGTAGCTAAATTCCTGGCATTCTGTATTCATGTTTATTTACTGGCAAGAGAGTCTTTGCTCAGTTAGCTAGGGCATGAGCCACCTTCTGTAACTCAAAATGAGAACCTCATTCTAGTCCCAAGCAATGTGACCTTGAGCAATTCCTAATTTTGCTTCCCTTTTCCATTTGTGTTGGTTCTGTTCCCTAAGGATTGTTAAGGAACAGTCTATTAACTGTCAGTGCTTCCTTTATAGCTTCTGTTGATTTTAAGGGCAATCCATGGATTTAATTCTATTCAATTAGAAAGTTCACAGAACACACATGAACATTTATTTCATCCTAGTTCAGAATGGAGAATTGCTAATACTAGTCCAAGGCTCCAGTATCTCAGTTGTACAGGCCCTGTGTTAAAGGAAGGGAATGGTACAATGTTTATTTTTCACTAAGAGTAGTAGGACAATGTTAGCAAAGTCTACAAAGAAAAACATCCCTGGAGTAGAAATTTAAGAGGGCATAAACAAGTGACTATCTACAAGAATTTGATTAATTTGATTGTATCTAGGAATTGCCCTTTCAGATTTTTCTTCTACAAGGAACAGAAATAAATTCCCTCCCCCAAGTTCCTGCACAAATGTATTGGTCTTCTGATATTACAAGTCCCTGTCACCATGAATTAAAGTAAAAAGAGAAAGGGGAAGCTTTTTTCTTAAAACATTTCCCATTTTATACTAAAATTTCCATAAGAATGCCACATCTGATAAAGTTATCCCAGTAGGTGACCAAGCACTGAAACAAAAGGATTACCTAGTGAGGAATTGGAGAAGGTTTGGGTTTTGCCATCAGACTTTAAACAGTTTTAAAACCACATCGGTCAGTTCACATTTTATACACACTTGAAAGAATGGCACATTAAGGTAAATGAACACATTGTGATGCCTTCCAGTGTTACACAGCTGACAAACTAATCTGGAGATCCACATCTGCCCTAAGGAACAGTCCATTTATTTAAATAAACTCATAGAAAACGAACAGGAACATCCATAAAACAGTTTGAAACAGGTAAAACGAATAAACTGTAGGAATCCTGCATCTGCCATAAGTGTGCTCTGTGTTTGCAGCACCACCAGGGCGGCGTGGTGCCGACGGCAAGGACAGGCACCACACTGCTGGATTGGCCCTCAGCTAGACACTGAAAAATAGCAGCATTAAAATACAGCCTGAAATAGCTTAGCTACTACCTCAACTGGTTAAAAATGTGCAAGAATAAAGAACACCAGCAGCATTTGAATGGATGTTTTTCAATTTGGTTTCTTACACTTCCCTCCTGTACAAAGCATACACAAACACAAAGCTGACTCTGAGATAGTAACTTATTTCTTGTCCATCTTTGAAAACTTTTCCCTTCATTTGCTTAACTTTTAAAAATTTTACTTAAAAACCTATTCAGTGTTAAAAAAACCCACGAGAATTTTAAGGTAGTTTCTAAATGCCAGGAAACTGATGCTTATTCCCCTATCTATCCTAATCACCTGAATTTCCTTAGCTGAAAATGGAAACGTTTCAGATTCCTGTTCCTGAAAGCGACATTTGTACAAAAGTCTCTCCAATACATCAGAAACTGAAGGAGCAAAATCCCCCAGTGCACACATAAAGGGTAACTTTTTGCTAGTTTGCTCTTGTGTTGTTTATATTGTACCTTTTAATATAGAAAATTAAAGAGTTCCGTTTTCTGACACAACTCACAAGGGAATGTATAAGAGGAGAAATCAGAAGGCCTTTTCTAAAGCCAAGTTTTGCATTTCCCTTTTTGTTTAAGTGTGATAAGGCTTATTAAAAAAAAATAAAGTAAAAATAAACCCAAGACACAAAAAAACCCCCAATCAACATCCCTGGGGAAAAAAACATAAAAGCCTTTTGGAAATACTTAATTTCTGAAAACATAAGACTACTGGAAAAAAATTAATTGCAAAATTAAAGGAAATTCAAGAAATCAATTCTCGTATTTCAAATCAGTCCATGATTTCATCTTCAGCAATACGATCCACTATCTTTTCCAGCCCAAAATTACCAGCTTTGGGGAAAACATATACTTAACAGAAATAATTAATGGGTTAAGTTAAATTAACTTTTTTTTCCCTGATCCACATGCCTGCATGTTAGATAACATTACATTAGAACTGAGCATTGTAATAAGAGACTGACAGCAACAGCCTGTCACAGTAACCAAAGCAAAAGCAATTTTCTCATGGTTACATACTATAGATCAGTAATTTAATATTAAAATTAACTTCCTATATAAATAAAAATCAAAAAGTTGGGCAAAAGTAAATTGGCACAGTCATTATGATATTGCTTTCCAGTTTCAACACTGCAAGGAGCAGCCACAGATTCCAAAGACCAAAGGAAAAGGCTGTCACCCAGCACCAGGTGTAGCTTGGGTGTTTTGCCTTTTCCATGAAGTCATCAGCAGTGCTCCTGCCTCAGGTCCATCCCCCCGGCTGGGAGCAGGCAGGAGTGCAAGGATTGCTGTAGAGCTGCTGGGGAAAAGGGAGAACAAATAGAGAGAAACAAACACAGAGAATGCTTTACTGCTCTGCACTACATGGCTCAAGTCAATGGTTTTTCAGGACTGTAACTAATTTTTACCTTCAAACAGGCAAAAAAACCGAAAATAAAAATTAAAAAGATCAAAATCTTAAGCCTTCAAGTTTCCTTGCCTTCATTCCCTCCCTCCCCCATAAAGCACCTCCTACTACAGACAGTTTTTTCTTTTTTGCAGGTTCAGAAGATGGAATGTCATGGAAATACATACAAGAGAGAAGGAATTTCTAGTTGTACATTACATTACAAAGAGGTTTGCTCCCAGACCTAAGGAGGGAGGGATACTAAGCAATATTAAATTCCTATAAGAATCCTTACAAAGCATGCAAAATATTGATATACTCACAAAATTGAAATTTATATTTTTCCTTTCTGATTTTGCAACTTCACAGTACAATAATTTCTAATATTCTGCAGCAGTCAGATTTACAGTGACTACATAATCATTTCCCTTTATTTTTTTCTATTTGCTTGAAACACTCCTTTGCTATTTTTTTTTAATTGAGAGTTTGCAGATCACCCATCAGAAAATGTGCAATTCAGCACAAGAGGAGTTGCTTTCTGTGTCATATTTAGCTGCAAATGATGTTGACAACCTGACCCTACAAATCTTTCAAAACCTGTCCCTCCCTCCCCTTTTTGTGCCAATTCCTTCCCTTGTCTTCCAGCTGTACTTTTCTTCTTGCCAGGATGATGATGGACAGATGCCACTAAATGGATGCTGCATAGCTGGGTAGGAGTAGTGGGGGCTGGAATAGCTGAGGAAAATGGCATCACTCCCACCCCCAGGATGTTTGGCACAGCTGCCTCTGGATACCAGCACTCAGATTCTGCAGTTTCCATTCCCTGCACAAATACTGCTGCCTTTTCCACCCCTGGAGCTTCAACTGATCTAGGGAGGGAAATACAAAATTGGTGTTTGGCCAGACCTTTTGTACTGCTAGATGGAGTTCCACAGAAATTTCTCCACTGCTCTTAATTAAAATAGAGTTGGAATTTCTGAAGAATCCACAATGCATGACACTTGCTAGATTGTCCATAAAGTACATTCGGGAATTTTTTCAGAGCATTTGTATCTATCAGAAAATGACTCTTGTAGAAACAATGCACAAAGCTTCCAAAAATTCAAGTATCAAAAAAAGAGATGTTCTGATAAAAGTCTGGAGTAAGCAGCCAGCCAAACTGAGAGCCATTGATTTTTTTTTTAAATCCACAAATTCTTCAATTACTTTTGCAGAGATAACATATTTTCTTTGGAGTGTTGGGAATTAATAGTCTTTCCAATTAATTTTCATTAAGTTTGGTGGTCTAAGGAATGTAGCAATCCCTCCTGGATAATATTGCCCCTGCTTTTCTAGCAAACAAACAACAGAATCACTGACTGTTATCCTCCCTGCCTCTCTTTAATTTGCTGTATTTATTTATTTTATTTTGTTGAGTCTGTCTCAACCCAACAAAACCCATCAGAAGTGCAACATAGGCAAGAGCAGGGCATCTCCTTCCCTGGGGTGTACAAACATTTCTATGGGAAGGGCTGGGTGAGCCGAAAAACCATACAAACAACAACAACAAAAAAACCCCAGCCCCCAACCAGATAACAGTTCTAGCTGTACATAAAACTCTTTGATTTCTTAAGAACCATATTCAAATCAAGACTTGAATTTCTGTGGAGAGAATTTTAGATCCCAGACCCTTCTCTTCTCCTTCCTCTTGCAAAGCAATGCTATTTTTTGTGGCCTCGAACAGTACTTGAAAAACAGCAGTTATTAAAGACACAGTTGTGAGATATCCTTTAACGCCCCCTCTCCCAAAAAGGGGTGTCCTATCAAGTGGTCCAGTAGAAATCTTGAAGTTTCTTTATGATAAATTAAATCCATAAAATGAGGAATACCTTCTGTCACATTCCCAACAAGAATAATCGCCACACTCAGTGGTGCTTTAGTCCAAGTGTCTATTGCTCCTTCTAGTGGAGATCCCACACAGCTCCAGCTCTGCTTAGTTCTGGTTCTACCAGCACAAGGTTTTTCTCCATTCTCTCCAGCTTATGTCTGGTTAATAAACAGCAGAAGCATTGAGGGCTGGAATTCCCCAGCACAGGAACAGGCCAGTCCAAGGAAACACCAGTCATCTTTTACCCAGGGTGACAAGTTATGCCAAAAGCAGTTTGTGTCCTGTTGGTACCGCAGGCACCTACACCTCTGTGGAAAAGAGAATGCTTTGCCTTTTGCTGTCCGGAGTAGGGATAGTCTCTAGCTGCAGGAAGTACAGAAGAACTTGAACCTGGAAAGAGAAATGACAAGGTAATACTAAAGCCCTGTAAAAACTCATTCTCATCCTGGCTGTGTGAGAGCTGGTGATACAGCTCTGCAACATCTAGCAGCTGTGCATAATGCACATAAAAGCAACAGAAATAGTAGAACTTGCAGTGCTTCAGAGACACTCTTCTTAGATTCCAGGTGGGAAAATGGTGCTGCTGGTTCCAGCACTGAAAAATCTAGAATTTGCCATTACTCAACGGAGCAATACAAACCAGTCTGACTCAGTGACATGGGCTCTGTGCTCCAATCCTCTGCATAGCCTTCAAAGGCATCAGTGACCAAAGAATTTTGTTGTGCATCAGTGAAGGTGGTTTAAGTGCCGAGGAGCACTGTGGAAACACTGCCAATTCTTTTATCCCAGGCCAGCAGCGTGGTGCTGGGACACAGCTCCCCAAAAACTCTTCCCATGCATGAGCAGACACAGGATACACACACACACACACACACACACACACACACACACACGTTCCTTCATGAAAAGCCATATTCATACAGATGCAAATTGACCTGCTTGAAGGAACACTGTCCTACAGAAAGACTAAAATGTCTGTGTGAGGGCAAAAGTTGTTTTACGTTTATCCAAAAAATGACCATGAAAACCCAGCAGGGTTGCTGAGCCAGGCCTGCCACAGGATTGTGCTTTCCCAGAAAGCATCTTCACAAGATGGAATGGCACATTCAGGATTTTACCTGGGACATGACTTCTAGTGACCAGCTGTCAGTCATGGTGATGGGCTGTGTTGGGTTAGCAGGGATTTTACTGTCCTTCTCTGAAGGTCTGAGCAGTGTTGGTCCAAAGACAGTGGCAAGATTATGCAGGGACATCTTGTTCACGCTTTCCCTCTCAGCAACCCTGGGAGAAGAAACAGTGCATAAGGCAGACCTTTATAAATGAGAAACTGAGGCACAAAGTTTAAGAAATTTGCCTAAGGGGTAGAAACATAAGCAAAGCCCAGATTTCCTGGATTTTAATCCAGAATCTCAATCACAAGATGATCTTTCATGTCTCCAGGGACAGTCTCTGGTATGTACAACATACTTATGCAAATCAACACATTGGGCAAGCATTAAGTCAGCTTATTGCATTAATGTCAAATGAATGGCAATACTTTTTCACAGTCACAACCATATTACAAAGACATAGACAAAATCAGAAAGACTTGACTACAAAAGGAACTGAAATTGCACTTAGGCAAAGTGATCCAATTTAGAAAATAGATCATAGTGGATTTCAGACACCTTCTGAGACAAGGTTCCCTAGACCTTGAATATGGCCAAAGCTTCAGGGTTTATACAGAAACCTTTCCTGGTCTTTGTATCCAGATGCAGGTGCAGTCTCAGTGACACTGCAGCAGGAATTTGCATTTGCGATAGACAAGCACTGACTCTTTTGTTACCCCTTTCCTCCAGTTCTAATCCTTTTTCAGTATGAGTGGGAATGGAATTCAGGATTTACTGCCTCACTAAGTGAGTATGAGACAATAGTTATCTGATGGGCATTCACAGCAGATCAGCAAATACTTCTTCATTTCTGTGATTCAGCAGGTATTTAAAGAAAATGCTCCACTTTTCCAAATAGCCAATGCTTTACACATTAAATGCATTTCTCAAGGAACCACATATTACCTTTTTAAATGGTCCAGAAGGAAAAGGAATGTCACAAGGTTGGGTTCTGGAAGCGATAGCAACAGATTCAACATACAGCTCTCCTTTGCAACAGGATCTGAAAGTGCTACAAGACAAAAAACAAGACATCACCACAGGCAGCAAGTTAGAATCTGAGTGAGCCATGTCCCAGAACAGCCAATACAGATGGCCCCAAAAGGACTGTGACTACATCATCATAGGCTGGAAGGTCAGAGTTGCACATCAATACCCCACAGTGTCTTGCTCCTTTATTTCACCAATGCATTAAGAATCCTTTTCTCTCAAGCAGTTCAAGTGTTTTGAGGCTTTCAATCCTTGATGTTTTTCTCTGCATTAAGATAAGATGAGGTACATATCCCCCTCCCCTCCAAAGGGGGCTACCCTGAAGCCTTCCTGGGTGGTGAGTGTGCACAGCCCCAGCAGGCAGGCTGGCAGGAACCAAAACCTGGGCCTTTGCAGCTCACAGAGCAGCACAGCAGGCACCCACACTGCACCCCGTGGGAAGGCAATGCCATTCTGAGCTCCATTCCCCTCCCCTCCCAGCTCATTCCAGGCTTTTATCCAGCACTGTAAATATGGGGTTTATGATGCTTTAAGAGCAGTCTCCATTATCAAGGGTTCCTTGTGCTGCACCTACCGATGCCCTCAGCAAAGTTGGGGTACAGCTCATCTGTGAAGAGGGGTTCTGGCAGCTCCCGGAAATACAGCTTGAGGGTGCCTGCAATGGCATTAACGTCCATCTCACTCATCATCACTGACACATCCTTGTTATCTGAAAGAGGGGAGAGTAGAGGAAGGGTAAAGGAACTGCTGGCCTTGCATTCCTTCTTTTCCTCGCTTTGGGTCTGTTTATCTTTTGTCTCTGCCCAAATAGCTGAGAGTTTTCCTGTTTACATTTCTCTGGATTAAATGAGCAACCTTCCAGCTGAGAAGCACTGCACAAATGACTGCAAACACTTCATTGCTTTACATCAAGCCAGGGAACCTCACCCTCCCAGGACTAGCTGTGCTGTGCCAGTGACATCAACCTGATCTGAACAAGCCTTACTTGACTGTATTTCTATGCATTTCAACTTTTATTACTGACAGCAGATGCTACTCCAATTCTCTGCCTCTAACACCTTAGAATAAGAAATTCTGAGATTCTCTAACACCCCACTGAGTGTAGCTAAGGCAATTCAGGGCTTACTCAGTTTTGTTACTATTAAGAACAACAAAACCACCCCCTCTCCCTAAGCTAAACACCAACCAGCACTGGTTTCATAAAGCAGTGTAAACCAGTATTTATTAGAAATGAAAAAAGTTGTTTTTCAAACTGTGAAAGACCCTTACTTGCACTAGCACCATTCATCAGTGGTTTTTGATAGCTTAGGGTGATTGAAAAGAAAACACAAGAAGGAAATCTCCCTAAAAACTGAAAGAAAAGTGCAGGGAGGGTGAATTTGGATGTCTGGCACAGATCTTATGACTTTTGGAGTGTGGCTTGAACAGTTCTTGGACCATCACATGGAAGCTGGAAGTAGGGCAAAATTTCACTTTTTGTACTTCAGCAATTTGGAAGTGTTTCACCTGCCTGATCTCAGGTGCCTTTTGGGACAAACAGGCCACTCTTTTAAAAGCAGGACCAGTAAGGAGCCTTTTTCTGCTCAAGAGCAAACAGAGCTTTGCAGAGGTTGCTCAAAGTGGTCTAATTTTCTAAGCCTGTGCACATCAGTCCAGGTGGAGTTCAGTCCAGATGGAGTTAGGGAGAGAAGCCCTGACCACCCAACCCCAGTTTCATAAATGCTTCTGCTCGTTCTAAGGAGCATGGGCTTTCACAAAAAATACTTTAGGGACTTCTATTAATTTGGACACTTCACAACAGTGAAGGAATTATGACTTCTGATTGCTGATGTTTCCCCTTAGAGAGGTGTTTGCCATTTACAAAGATTTGGCAAGGCTTTACTTTCATGTCTGCTGGGAAGAATAAAAAAAGCATGGTTTGGTACAAGGATCCATCCTGTTGTATGTCTTGGGTTATATCAGTAAACAAAATATGCAGCCAGGGTTAAAATTATTTTCCCTGAGTGAGAATCTCTACTTTTTAATGCTTCTTGAGCAACAGAAGATTAAAAATAGCACAGCCACCTGACAGGGAGCTCAGGCAGGTTCCCACAGAGCAAAGAGAAAAATCAGACACAAATACTTACTGACATCAAAGGCAGCTTTCAAAGCCTGGATGTCGGTTGCAACCCCGGAGACGCGGTAGATCCCCACCTCCTCCATCCCGCGCCGCTCGATCTCCTCCACGCACTGCCGCACGATGTACGGCACCTTGGACCTCTCCCTCCTGAGCAAAGCACACACAGAAGGCTTCAGTTCAGCCCAGGCCCTCCGTGCCTGTTCCCAGCATGGCTACAAGCACCCCAACATTTCCCTGTGCAAACCTCTTCTGGAAAATGGGTGGTAGGAAATCTGAGCGGGCAGTCAGGACTGAGCTGAAAAACTCCTTTTAGAACTTCTCTAGTTTTCTAGGGTTTTCTGACTGCCTCAGCCTGGCTCTGGCTGTTCTGCAGCTTCCCTGAGCACTTGAGCTCTTGGCCAGGTCCCAGTGCCCCTAGAGCCTGCGACTCTGCCCAGGTAATCAGAGGATTCCCAAACAGCCCTTGGATACATAACAACTCTATTGCTTTCAAACTCATGCAATTCCATGGGGAGGAAATACCACACTTCCCAAACCATACAACAGAACAAACAGGTTTCTGCTGGCAAATGATTCATGACAAAAGATCAGGGGTTAAAATAATACAATGGGATCCAAAGACCTTGAACATTTTTGATTATGGAAAGGAAACACCACTGTTCAGTGGCTCTGGAAATTTGTGACCATGTCAGCTAACTACAGAGAAGGCAAGGGCAAGGGGGATTTCCGGAATTTGGAAGAGTGATAGGCTGTCAGTAAAGAGCCTGTGTGCACAGTTTTTTATCTCTGTAAAAATGAAGCTCAGAGATTGTAAAGCATCTCCTGTCTGCAGCCACATCTACACTCCTACACTAGTGGAGCAGGCTGGACTGCCAAACCCCTCAGGGGGACACAGGCAGGTGCACCCCACTGGCCACTTGTCTTCCTGAAACACAACGGGGACAAACGTGACCCATGAGCTCACTTGGTGACAATCGCGATCTTGACCCCAAACACGCCCGTCTGCTTGCGGGACGGCATCCTTTTGAGGCTGAACTCCCGACTGGTGAACTTCACTGACAGCTTCACTTCCACCTGAACCAAAGACAACAGCTGTTACTTTTTAAACTTTTAAACTTTTTTCTTTTCTTTTCTGTTTTTTTTTTTTTTCATGCTGCAATGAAGAGCAAAGAAAGCCCACAGGAGGTACAGAAGCAGAGCTAATTTCTGTTTGCCACACTTACCCCGTTCATTGAGATCACTGTGCGCTGCCAATCTTTGTCCTGCAGTGCCTGCGGGTCCAGCTGGAAAACAGAAGTTACCCATGAGCTAGGAGCAGACTTCAGAGACACCAGCTAGCCTGGAAGGCTTCTGCAAGTGAGCAGAGCACAACCACTTTTACATTGTTATTTCTTTTCCATAGGAAAACCCACATTTCAAAGTTTCCCCGGTTTCAGGGAAACCAAGTTTTGGATATTGTGAAGCTCTCCAAACAGGGCTGATGAGGAGCTGATGAGGCTTCATACACAAAAACCCAGCAACATGAGAGCAGTGTCTGCTCAACAATAAAGACAACCTCAGCGAGCATAACCAGTATTTGAATCTTCTGAGAAATCATGGAAAGTTGTCCTTCAACCAGCCTATTCCTTTTCTATTCTATTTGAGAACAGAGGCAGGAAGAACACCAGGGCCTGCTACTGCAAGCACTCATTAAACAGAAACAAGTTCCAATCTCGAATTTTCAGCTTTGCTTGATCTCGAGTGGACAGTTGTGAGGCTGGGGAGCAGCTGACTCAAGTGCTAGAATGTCACCCAGCAATTCTACTACTGCCTTGGGAGAGCCCAAACACATCCAAAGGCCTGAGAAGTGGCACTCAGCTCCAGGGAGACTGGCAAGAAAGAGGAGGAGGTCTGCCTGGGGGCTTGATCAGCCATTAGAACCAGTCAAAGCAAGAATTTGGTGCCTCCTGAGACAGCTTTGTAACACTTGGCTCTTGAACATGGAGAAACAGTAAGACCAGGGGCAACTGCAGCAAACTCTGTTTTGAGTTTACTGCTGTCAGCAAACAGACAGTCATAACCAGAGCTGCTTTGCAGCACAGCTCCCCCCTCTCACAGAGCCCCGTGCAGGGCCAGAGAGCTCTGGCAGGGAAATCCTGGAACAATGGCAGCTGCAGGAAATTCTGGGAGAGCTTAGACACGGTCACGGTTGCATGCAGATCATCAGCCCAGTGCTGCTGACAGCTACAGAGACAAATCTCCCTATGCCCTCCCCCACTCCCCAAAGAAAGGCAAGCAGCAGAGTAAAGTTCCTCCCTGCTTTCTCCCACTGCACAGACCCCAAGAAGAAGCGAGGCCAACCTTATCCCTGCGCACTCTGTTACGGACGTGAGCCCACAGCGGGATGCTGCCAGCACACACACGCTTCCCTGCCGAACTGCACCGGCTCCTGTAGCTGCAGCGCCGGCAGAAACTCCTGAAGAGCCCTTGTAAGGAATTGTCAGTAACCAGCAGGTCCCACATTCCGGGACTGTGCAAAGTTCCAGGGCGCCAATGGGCAGCAGTGCTTGGCTTCAGTGCCTCAGCGACCCCAAACACAGGACTGCTCGCCAAGGGGGTTTGCTTTTAACTCCAGCAGAACAGATCCGCCCCCGCTGTGGGGCTGGCCAAGGGCCCTCCGAGCTGGCCAGTTTGTAGGCTGTTCTACCCTGAACTTCCGTGCTGGAAGTTTGATTTCTTTCAACAACTGAATTCTTTCCCAGAATCAAGAGGAAACCATTTCTGAAGTGTCTGGTTTCCTATGAGGAGCAACCATGCTAAGAATTCCTGAAAGCTTGATCTCCAGCTCTGAAGAGTCATCTGGTTAAGCTGCCAAAATGGCCCTGCTGATGGACACAGTCACAGCCAATCCTCTTGCTGGGAACCAGTTTTCCATATGCTTTTAGAATGGAGTCACTGAATGTATTATTTATAGCAAGGAGCTATATATTTATAACTGAGGACTAAAGGGGAAAGAAGGTTTGAATGTTTGCCAAAAACTTTAAAGGGAGAGTCCAGCAGAATCCAGTTACAGTTTATTTAAGCTAACAGGTATTACTGGGTATGTGTCAGTAATGACCAGGGAATTCCTGCCACTGCACAAAACAAAAGCAACTAAAAAGCTATTAAAGAATACAAGCCAAACACCATCCTGTTCTGTCTCAAGAGTGACTTTTATGCTGCTGCAAAGGACTAGCAGAAGCAGAGTGCTGGAGCTGAGAACTCATAAAGATTTTTCCTTGCTGAAGCTGAGAGCTCACAAGCTGAGAGCTTGCTGGATAACTGCTGAGGCTGAGCCAGGACTATGAGTAAACCACCATGTACCTGCTGCTGCCTCTTGCTCCCTTGTTTCTGTGCTCTCCTGCTGAGCTGACAGGACCCCTGCACTCCCTCCTACTGTTTGACTCCTGCTGGAGAATGCCTTCTACTGAATGGGGCTAGCCAGGGACAGGCACCAGAGCTGGCTGACCCAGCCAACCCTGCATAAATCACTGGCAATAACAACAGCAATTAAGGGGGGAAAAACCCAAACTCTCCCAAGGTGCTTTCTAAACAACAAAGCAAAATGATGGAAGCTATTAAAAGAGCAAAGCTTGAATAAACTCTCAGCAACAATAAACTCTCAGCAACACTGAGTGAGACAGGAAGATCAGGTCTAACAGTCTGATAAGTCACAGCAGGACGTAACAGAGTCAACAGGAAACCAAGAAATGTCACTGAGACTTCAATGAAGCTTCAGTCGTGGTCCCAGCTGATGACCAGCCTTCTGAGGCCAGCAAGAGCAACAGAGGGAAAGGGCAGCTGCAGCAGGCAGGGAGAGAGCACACTGAGGACAATGAGCTAAGCAAGAGTGATGCTCCAGCAGAGGACAAATGGGGCCATGCTGTCTTCTGGCCTGATTTGGAGATCAGTGACCTGAAAGAAGGAACACTGAGTAGAGGAATGCAATCCACGGCCAGCATGGCAAAGGGAGGCAGCTCAAGCAGGAGAGGCACAGTGTAACTGCTGCCTCTGCATCTGACAGTGGAATTTACTGCTCCTCTACACAGCTGCTCCAAACAGTTGCTTGGTTTGAGTGACCTGCCCCATCTCCATTGAAGCAGAGCCACTGTGTGTTGTTTCCATGCTCTGTGCAAATAGGACAGACCTGCTAAAACCCTCACAGACTGTACCACATGGGCATGTTTGCACAGTCCCCACCAAAAGCTTATGCTGAACAGGAAAATACAAACCAATCACTCTGTCTGTTTACTGCTCCCTCCAGACACCCTGTGGCCTTCGGTATTTGCAATGGCAAGCTACAGCCCCAAATTCACTAATGAATCAAGCCAATACCTCTCTGTATCCTGCCCAAAACACAACAGAACAAAGCACCACAGGGGTTTCTGAGTGCAGCTCTCTGGCCTTTGTAGCAGCTCAGCACTGAATCCAGACAGTGCACAGCAGTCAGGAAAGGCTGAGAGTGCACAGCAGCTGGTGAGAACCTGGAAAAAGGCAAACTGGGGATGCTGCTCTGGCAAATGCAAGCCAGGCACTAGGAAGGGTGTCTATGCTCTGCCCTGGGAAACCACCATAGAGAGCTTGATCATGATTTCTTTTTCCCCAGAAAGAAAAGAAAACATGCAGAAGAAGGGAAAAACAAAGAAGCCTCAGTGGAATTAAAAGAGCATGGACTGTGGAACATTAAGGTTAGTGTGTTTTATATATTCATTCACATTACTTTTTCTCTTTATTAAATTTCCCAGGCAACTTTACACTCCATCAGTTTTGAATTGTAACTGATGTGACATACATGTTGTCAGAGTCTCACTGCTGCTGGGAACTCCCAGTCCTGCCATAACCCCATTCTTCTCACAGCTCCCCACTGACAGGTTAATCTTTCCTACCATCACCCTTTAGCCATGACCCATTGCCTTCTTCATTTCACCCCTATTTTCATTGCTGGGACAACGTTCTGCTTCAGCAAACTTAAAATAAGCTTGAGTGAGTAAAAGGTTTCCAAGTCAACACTCGGGAGCTACTGCATTGGACAATCTGGTTTACATGGAAAACAACTTAATGCCTGAAATAGCCATGGGCCCTGCTATGAGACATCCCAGATAATTAAGATAAGAATGATTGTTTTGCAAGGCAACAGAGGAATGGTGCTGCTCCACAGAATGAGTGATCTAAGGTCACATCCTCCCTGATTTTCCAGCACTGCTTTGAGGGAGAAGGAAGTATTTAGCTTGAGCTGATCATGCAGAAAGAGAAACAGCAAAGGAAATGGCATTTCTAGGAGGCACCAGTGGGAGGAGCCGGATCCCAGGGTGAAGAATCACTTCACTCACGCACTGTTCCCAAGGCACAGGCTGGTCCTGCTGTGCCCACTTAGGTACAGCCTCAACGCCAAACAAAAGGCTGCTGCACTCCAAACACGGGGATGTGTCTGCCATGTGAAGTGCAAAATGCAAGGAGCCGAGGGGCCGGCCCAAGTGCCAAAGATGGGACTGCAAGGTAACAACAGAAGGAAAAGCCCAGGGTGCCCACAATGAGAGGGGCTTATGCCCACAGCTGAACTAAGCCTCACGTCTCCTCCCATCATGTGATGTCCACTCCATCCTCCCCCAGCTGCCCCAGTACTTTCAGTTTCACAGTGCACCCAGGAATAATATTCCTCATGCCTGAGGTGCACCAGGAGCCCCCAGCCACGTGTGCCAGTCAGTTCAACGCTGCACACCCAGCACGACTGTGCCCAGGCCTGGTGAGAACTTCACTTGTGCATTTACAGGAGGTTCTCCCAAGCTAAAACCTCATGGGTTTATGTTTCAGAGATAAAAAACTTGCAGACTGGCAGGAAAGAAACAGCTCTTGCATCTGGCTATAAAGACAGGCAAATAAAATATTCCATAGGAAAAGAAAATATGAGCAATGGGAGCTGTTAAAATTGCTGCCCATTCCTGGAAACTTGTGACGACATGGACCAATTTCCAGCCTTCCTTCCTTCACTGCCATAATGTAACGGAGAGATTTAATAAACATTTTTACAGCCAAAATAGTCTCCTGGATTGTCTTCACCACTGAGGCTCAGTATTTGGTGAGTCAGAATTCCCAGTAATGGGAAGTTGCATATTTACAATAATACATAACTTAACAATGCACTGCAATTTAGCCAACAGAGAAACTTCTCTGCTTTTATCCACAGCAGGATGCAGGCACGACTCTTCATGCTCCCAGAGTTTTTAACTGAAGGGAATTTAAGAAACAAAAATCCTCACCCAACCTCACAGACCTTGCCTTTAGACAGAAAGATCTGGGCTGAATAATGACAGTGCAACAACAAATCAGAAAGCCCAGGATAAACTACAAACTCGAAGGTAAACAAAATTTGATATAAAAGCACCTGGGAGAACACAGCCAACCTTCAGCCACAGGCTGTAATCAGATTTTGTTGTTGCATTATTATGGTTTCTTTAATAGAGAAATGGTGTTTACTTCAAAAATAGAAAAAACCAAAATCAAAACCTTTAATAATTTTTAACAATCTAAAATCTTACCAGACTGTCATATGACTTCTCTTTGATTCAATAGTGTTTGAAATTCATAATGGGACAGGAATCACTAAAAATTAAAGAGATTATTCAGGCAATTCATGAAGTTTTTTTATAAATTCTGAAGAGGATTTGCAGAAAGCAAGAGAACTTTTGCATATGCCTTTTATGATACCATAGAATGCAACATTTGTACATTAATTAAAAACTTTTAAATTGAATTTTTAACCTTCCCACTATTTAGGTTTCTCTAAAAGAATCAAGATGCAATTAATACTTAATTGCCATCAAAGAGTATATTTATTTACTAAAGTATAAAATATATTTACAGAATGTACAATTGCTGAGCATAAAAATGCCCATGGCTGTGAGAAGGAAAAAAAATTGCCAAAAATTTAAAATATTTTATTTGTTTTTTTTAATCTTTCTATGTAAAATATTTGTAGAATTTAGTGGGTCAGTGATTTCAGGCTTCTCTATTATGAGCATACAAATCTTCAGGGCATTTCAGGGCTGAAAACTTGCTCTTTTGTAGTTGCTCAGCTCCATGGAAAATAGCCTTTGTTAGCTGAAGGGACACAGGGATTTCTGGTCAGCTGAGACACACACACAGGAGACACCCTGTGCTGGCATTTATTGATCTGCACACAAGCTCCCTTCCAAATCCCCCCATGCATTCCAGACAAAAGCTCTCCCTGAAAACAGCAGAGAGGGAAGGAAGAGGCTGATCAAAGTCATTAAAGCAGTGAACCCTGCCAGCACAGCAAAGGTGGGATGTGATCCCCTCTCACCCCGAGCTGCTTCTGCCATGCCACAAATGGCCTTGGCCTGCATGAGCATCCCTCCAGTGCCAGGGAAAGCTGTCATCCACAGGGAGATGGACAGCCACACCTAGATGGAGGGGAACTGGTGGCATCTTTAAACATGCCAGAAAGCAAAAGGTGTCTGGGCAGGGTCAACAGCCAGTCCAACACAAAGAATGTGTCCTCAGAGCAGGCATTTAAACACTCTCCTAAAGTTGTGGACAGACAGTGCAACAAACTGGAACAAAATGCAGAACATACGTTCCCCATCCTTTCCTCCACACATGGCCTGATTTCTCCTACATCCAGCTTTAGTCCTCTATCACACAGCAGCTCCCCAAGAGCAGCAGCCCTTTGCAATCATCACCTCCCCCACTGTATTAAACATCTGCCACACAAAGTGTCCCAGGCCAATTCTCTGCAGTGGAAATGTTCCTTGGAAGCTGTCTGCTGTCATGGACACCACATTCTGGGCATGGCAGTCATTAGGACAGTCAGGCTGTCCCAGGGCCTGGCCCACACATCCATCAACTTCAAACACACAGATGGCAGCATTTCTGCACGAGTTACAGAATAGAGAGAATATTCTTGTGTCCTCACAAATGAAGCAGCCTCAGCAGTGCTCAGTGCCCAGGGGCAGTGCAGTTCCTATATACTGGTATGGAAATTTGGAAGTTAATGGGAAAATGAGAGATCAGAACAAGCAGCCATTCTATAAGGTGCTGGAGCAGGCAGAGGGCACAAAGCTGCTGATTTCATGCCTGTGAATCACACTGTGCACTCATTATCTGAGGGAAAAATCTTCAATGCTGAGACAATCAGAAGGCAGAAAAAACCTCTGCAGTGAACATCAAAAGTCCTGTGATGTTTTGCAGTGAGGGATCAGGAATGAGTTGAGCACAGTCTTACCTGGATCTGTCCTTTCCCCATTATGCGATCTGTGCTCTCTCCATCCTCTTTGGTGAGCTTGGTTTTGTTGTAGCACTTTTCATAGCACAGAATCCTCAGTGTCTGGGAGCCCTCCAGCTCGATCTCAAACTCCTGCAGGGCACCAGCAAAGGAAAGAGCAAGGGCTGCATCACAACAGGACTCCAGTCTCAGAATAATCAATACAGTCTCCCTAATACTCACCAGAAGAACACTTAAGGACTGGCCAAAACCTCCTCCCTGCTGGAATTTAGAAATAAGCTGAAATTGTATTTTGTATCTATAAGGTGGTCAAATTGGATACTAAGATGGTTCACTCCTTAGTCAGGTTTCACAGGTCTCAGCAAAGCATTATTCAAAGACACAGATTTGCTCACCTTCCTTGCAAGAAATTTTGCTCATCAGCAGTTCTGAGTTGGCTGTAAATAGGCAAAATGTCTATAGCTAATTCTTCCCCCTCTCAACAAATAAACAAAACCATCTCCTTTAACATATTTTTACTTGTGTCTTTAAAAAATATATCAAGCATGCATCTGTTTAAAAAGTGAAATACTGGACAAGACTCATGTGTATCAAATTGTTTGTTTAAGTACTGCTAATCCAAGAGTAAACCTTCTGCAAGCCCTGACAGCCAAATGAACCTGGCAGAAAAGTGTTTTCTGAGAAGCAGCATATGCAGCACAAGTGCTGAGCATGCAGCAACCTCTTCCACTGGCAGTTCTTCTGGTCTTCTGCCCATCATGCATTGATGTTTGGCACATGGAAAAAAAATCACATCAAGAAAAATCAAACCTACCTCGTTCCAGTTGGGCTCTGTGGTGTCTCTGTAAACTCTAGTTTTGGCCTTGTTCACAAAATACCCAAAAGAGTCCACCTCTAACGTGCAGTACAAATCTGAGAAGGGGAGACAGAGACAAAAACGTAAAAAAAAAAAAAGAATCTAGAATCTCCTAACTTGCATTAATCACTTGCACAGGGTGCCTTCATTTCCATCATCTCTGTATTAGTACCAGTAGCACCATCCCATACAAATCTCACCACCTTGATCAGCCCAGCTGTCCTTAAGAAGCTCTGTCACCTTTTTTGAACCTTCTGTCAAGTCATTCCCCTGAATTTTAACAACACTTTCTTCCCAACAAAAATTCTGGATGTCAGAAAACACCTTCCATTCTTTCATTTTAAAACAAAATGCAGCTGAAAGAATTCAGGATAAGGGCTGACTTGTTTCTAGAAGAGCTGGGTAATCAGCAAACACTGCTTAAAACCTCAAACAGACTAGGCCTAACAATCAATGCTGTGTGCTTGATCCTTGATGGGGATCTTTTCGGGAGTTAAGAGTAGAACTTCCAGTTGCCCAAAACACCTCTCCTCCTCACCACCATCACAGATGCTGCAATCCACACCCAGCTGTCCCAGCACAAGGCTTATCTAACTCCTGTCTGTACCTCTTGTGTGCCACAGAACTGCAACTCACTTGAGCTTTGCTTGAATCCCGTGGCAGAGTGGACAATGACGTTCAGGAATCCGTAGAGACCTGGAGATTCATCATCTGTACAAAAGACCCAAGGGATTTTGTTACATTCACAGTGGAGCCAAGAGTGAGAGTGATGAGACTGATGTCACACAGGTTAATGAGCAGGGGGTGAACTGTCCCCAAGGATGGCAGGAGCACGTAACAATGACTTCAGCAAGGCAGGAGACTGTTCTACAGTTGGCACCTCTAATACCTTCTGGCACTGGGGGGCTTTTACAGTGACAGTTCTAGGATCAGCAAGACAGCATGGAAGAAATTCAAAGGAGAAAAAGTAAATTATAGAGGCTAAGTCTACACCAGCAGATTAAGGAATAATTTAGGATGGTCCCTGACACAATTTTGGCCAACTAGTGTTGTTCCAATGGATTCTCAGACGTAGCTCAAAGCTGTCCCAGGCTAGGACTCCACCAGGCACTCCAATACCTTGCACAACAGATGCATGCAAGGACCATTTAACAGCTGGATAATGTATAGTGGGGGATGCCTGCAAGCTGTAGCAAAAGGGAACAGTAAGAGCAGTGCTTGGGGAAAGCACACAGTCAGGCAAGGGCAGAGTTTCACTGCAGCTGCACCATGTGAAAGCAAAACCCAAAGATCTTACCTTCCTTATTGATAGTGAGGGGAATGTTGTGGACTGTCTGAAGCTTCACACAGGAGTTTGTCAGCATCTGGAGCTCCACTGATGTCAGTGAGAAGCTTTTAAAGCCTGCCATGGAGATTGAGAGAGGGAGTAAAAATTCCAAGGAGAGCCTGGGTGCATGAGCCCTCATCCTGGGCACCCATGGGACAGAGCTCCCAGGGCACTGCTCAGCAGCAGCACCCAGCTGCTCAGGCAGTGCTGCTGCTGCTGCAGCCCAGCTCTGCTGGGGGCATAGTTAGTTACTCCTCCAAGGAAAGTCTCAGGATGGCTCACAGGAAATAGCTGGGTTCTTAGTACCTTGCAAAACCAAAAACACCACGCCATAAAAGTAATTAAATTTCTTTTGAATGGAGCCAAGGAAAAGGGTGAGGCTCTTCCCTCTCAGTGGAATTGCACTGAGCTCTGATCTCTAGGGTAAACGAGAGAATCTCTAAAGACATTTACTTACTACATATATGACTTACTACATACTAACTTACTACATTCCTCACATGTTGCTGCAGCAGAAATTGCCTGAACAGCCTCAGACAGGAGACACCCATACTGCACTGTGGATCTCAGTGCACATCTCTGTTTTGGCAGGGAAGTCTGTCCCACACTCATCCTCTGGAGCCCTGCTCTCTTAGGATCACAGTACTTGTACCAACAACAGCTGAGGAATACTCACATTTCTTCTGCTGCTCCCGGATATTCTCCCTCCACTCTGCCCTTTCATAGTCCGATGAAATGAGGAATGTGTAACTCTACCCAGGAACACAGCAGAAAATTGGGTATGCATTAGTCTGATGCACCACTGAGGGCAGGGCCTGCCTGCTCCCACCCTCCCCCAGTGCACATTGCTGGACAGACTGTTCTGCTGGCACTCCTGCCACTCATCCTGCATCACATCTCTGTAAAGACAGGCTGGGCTCTGGCAACGTGCCCATGGTACCAACAGGGACAGTCAGAGCTCACAGAGCCCCTCCCTGCAAAGGGCAGCTGTGGCCCTGCAGCAGCTCCCATGGCAGCTTGTGCTATTCCTCACAATAAAAATTCAGCTGCACCAGGAATGCCAAAAACCTCCAGCACAGGCCTAGACACTGATGAAGCAGTGGCAGTCAGGACGCAGTGACCAGCTCATGGATTTTCACTGAGCAGTAACAGTCCTGGGAGACTCCTTTGCCATGTGCATGAGAGGTGCCATGTGCCCTGAGTGCGCCAAGCCTTGAAGCCACAGGGCAGTGTAGAAGGAAGCTGCTGCAGAGCTGGATCTTGGGTGAAGGGCTGTTCCCATTGCTCCACCAGGACTGGTGCTGAGACAGAGGATTCATTTCTGTGGTTATTTCTTAAATGTCAGTCTTGTATGCAAATTAGTCACAGCCTTATAGGACACCATCATAATCTTTGGCACAGCAAGGGTCAGGTGTCTGCTGCTTGGAAAGTGTTTTGAGGACACACAGCAGAGGCCCCAGAGCCCTCCCTGTGCAGGGCCATGTGCAGTCCCAGACAAGCCCCACACCCTGTGGCCCCTGAGGGTGACAGGGGATGCTCTCACCTTGCCATTTCGATTGTGCACCCGGAAGGCCATGTTGGGAGACATCAGCAGGAGGAGGGATTCCTGTTCTGAGAGCTTCTTTTTCAACCTCTCAATGACCTTGCTGCCCTTATTGGCCCTCTGAAGGGTGTGGGAAAGAGGGAGCAGAGGACACATGTTATTCTCCAAATCTGCCCCCATTTACACTAACTGCTATTTTAAAATCCACAGTCTCTACCCTGTGAGTAGGTAACTGGCCCCAGAACAGAAGCAATGCTGTCAATAGGATCCAGCTGCTCAGAAAGGTGTCACTTGCAGATTCTCTACACTTTGACCAGGCTCTGTTCCCCAATTCCAGCTGTCCCAGCTAAAGTACAGAGGTGTGTGGCCACTGTCCCAGCTGTAGCCTGTATTTTCTGTTCCAGAGGCTGCAATAGCATCATGTCACTGGGCAGCCACAGCACTGCCAGGTCCTCCAAGTGTCCTTAACTAAGCACACTCAAAGGAACTTCTTTAAAAGCTGCTCAGAACTCTTCCACTCACCACCCACTGATCCATTTTCACCAGAGGTCTGCTAAAAATACGTTTTTTCCTGGATAAAATCCAGTCCCAAACCCAGCCATGTGTATTGTTTAGCACTGATGCACCAAAGCACGTATCTCAGACACCTGCAGCTGGTGAGGAAAATGCTTTCACAAAGTGCTCTTCCTAATACCTTACTTTTTCCAGGAAACCCTCTTTGAAAGCCAGCCAGAGCTGAGAGGCAGAATCATGTTCTCTGGAAATGTGGGGAATAACCTTCCCATACCATGATCAATGTTATTCATATCCTGCTCTACACACCACCACTGTTCAAAGCCTTATTTCTCTTTTAGGGTCCAGGAAGCCTTGGGATCTAACAGCTCTCAGAAGACATATCTTGCAAGCAAAGAGACACCATGTCCCTGGCTGACTGTCCAGTCAGTGTAACTGCTGTTTTCTATACATTTGCTGCTGCTTTGACATCAGTGAAGTAAGAAAAAGCTTCAAAGGTATAACTGAGCCTGCTAAAATTCAAGAGTATATGGCTTCTGACCAAAATCACTGGCAGGATCATAATTTAACCGCCAGAAATTGGCAAATAGCACCCCCAGTCCTTCTCATGTCTGCAGCATAAAATCCCTGCCCTTCACATGGATGCTCACAGGTGGTTTTGCTGAGTAGAGGAGCTGCTGGGTACAACCACGGGGTCTCTTTGTCTCCTCACAGGGCAGCACCACCCAGGCTGTGCACTTGGATGAGCAAAGCACCTGGCTATCACAAACCCCTGCTGAACAGTCTGTTGCAGCCTGGCTCCCCAGACTTCATCTGAGCACAGACCCTGTGTCTGCATTGCCATGGAGAGCTCAACTCCTTTACCTTTTCCCGCTGGATGTCGTTCTTGATCTGGGATATCTTGATCTTCATGGCATCCAGTTCCTCATCAGGTACCAGTGGGATGTTGGGCACTGCCTCACACTCATCCACCATTTGGAAACTGAGGTCAGTGAGTGGGATGTACCACTTGCAGTCATATTGTTGGCTTTTTCTGAAAGGCAGTAGGTCCAAACCTTTTACTATTACTGGTGTTTGGTAACCCAGTCCTTCCCACAGGTTCTTCCCTGCTATAGTGCAGAAGATGCAGATAACTGGCCCACTGTACTGTGATTCCCATATGGAAAAAGTCTGGCAACAGGCTGCTTTTCTGCAAGACAGCATAGCAGGGCCACTAGCTGGTACAGCACATAAAAAGGCAACTCCTTTTGTTATCTAGTTCTTTTCATCCTCAGAAACCACATCCATCTCCTGCAGACAATTTTGGTCCTGCATGCTCTCTCTTTGAAGCCTCTGGTGTGGCAAAGTTCTAAAGCTGTGCCACACCTGTGACCTGATGGCCCCCTGGGATCTGAACCTGGGTCTCACCTGCCCAAGCTGGGGCCAAGGTGGGGCAGGTGAGCCAATGGATATAAACCTCTGTGTAATCCAACCAGGGGAGAGAAACTACAGCTCACAGGTGCCATTCTCCAGAGATTGCACCAAGATAAGCAGCTCACTTTTTTAATGTTTCGTGTCAGTTATTCCCTCTTCACCACTGCTGTCAGGAACATCCACTCTTGGGAATGTCCCACTCCTTTGAAGGCTCATTCCTCACAAGAACATACTTTGAAAAGGGCAGGCATAACTTTTTGCTTGAGGAGGGCAAGAAGATAAGAGATGTCTCCCCAAGAAGAATGTTTACCAAATAAAGAGAAGCCCTGTTTGATGCAAGTACATTGGTAATGGTTCCTCCCTCCTCGTTTGTGAAAAAATGTCAGCAAAACTGCTTTTAGCTGCACTTTGGGGTTGACACATAGTCTGTTCACTGCACCTTTGCCATTTTTCTGTAAAACTGTTAACAGGCTGTAGCTACAAAGCCAAAATTAACAACCTTGGTCATTAAAAAAGTGAAGAATATCACCTATTAAAAGAAAAGGGAAGTAGAAAAATAAATGATAATAAATTTCTCCAGAATACCAGCAGCTACAAGGTATCCTGCTCTCCTAGGAAGGCTCAGGGCAGGGATGGGAGGAATTACCTTTCCTGAGGGGTCAGGACTTATTCAGCATCTCATACAGTAAACATTCCTACACTGCTGATCATTTCTTGTCTAACTGCTTCCAGTGGGTTATGGTTACCCAGGTCTGGGGTATCCATATGCAACTAAAACTGCAGGCTAAACCCAGGATTCTGTTGCAGCACAGGGGCAAAGCATAAAGCCCCAAAAGGAAACTCTCACCCTCCAATCTGCTTCTTGAGCTTGGCACACAGGAAGAGGTCAGTAAAAAGAAAGACGTGACGTAGTTTGCGAGCCCCTTCCACCAGCTCCACCATGAAACTGTCCTTCAGCAGCTGCCGGTGCTGGGGAAAAAGCAGGAAAAACGGTTCAGTGCAATGTGAGCTCCAAATGTGGCACTGGGGCAACACAGTCCTTACACATGACTCCTACCAGAGCAAACTCAGGACATTTGTCTAATTCAGAAAAATGAAAAAGCCTACTAAATACTCCTTGCTGTCAACTCTTCTCCTTGCTGCAGCCCTCTCTCCCAGAGGCAGGAAGAGCCATGCATCTTCTCCCCTGCCTGCTGCTGGGTCAGATTTCGTGCTTCATCACCTGTTCGTGAGCACTTTGGTGTGAGTCACTGCCGAGCTCCTTCGTACCAGTCCCTGAATCCCTGCGAGCCGATCGTCCCCTCCCGAGCCAGCAGAGAGCAGCACACACCGCGTCTCCCAGAGTCACTTCAGCCTCTGCATCGGCTTCAGCCACCCCAGCAGGGACAGCAAAGCTCTCCTCGACCCCTTCCTCTCCCATTCACAGAACGACTTTGTCCACATTAACAGCTGAACGCCATTGCTGCTTCTTCATTACAAGTGCTGTTAAGGGAGAATTGCTGAACTTGTGTATCTGGCAAACTTCTCAGGAGTCCCTTATCAGCCTGTGCTTTAAAAGGACCATCTGGATGTACCCTCACCATGTGCCTATTGGAATCTTCTTTATATACCATATAAAGATTCCCCAAACCTAGAAGATGCAAAGGAGCTGCACAATTCTGACACCTTTAATCTTGCTTCTATTTCCATGGAGTTTTACAGCCTCCTAAAGAAGGGGCACACATTGGTAAGCAGAACCGTTGCTTTCCTAATTCCCTTATGGAGGAGAGGTGGGACAGACGACTCCATAGTTAAAGGCCCAAAAGGCTGGAATGCTGGCATGTAGACAGGTGGCTGTGTGCTCCTTCCAGTGACCGTGACAGGAGCTTCATGCCCTGCTCTGTGCTCAGGTCCTCCACTGTGCTGTCAGGACCAGCAGGACTCAGTGCACACCTGGAACAGACACCTCCCACTGATTTTCAACCACAAGTCAGGGCATTCAGCTCTGGGCAAGTTTTATTTCCACCAACATGTGCAACTGTCAGTGTTGCCTCACTTCACAGCCAGTACAAGCAGGAACCATCAGTTTCCCCACACATGCTAAGGAACTCTTCCCTGACCTGCACTTCCTTGTGATTTCAGCCAAGAGGATGCTCCTCTGCCATCACTAAGTGACCTATCAGACATTCCACATCTGCCCAGACAGCGCTGTGGCTGGAGACAGGAGAGTTCTGCTAACCCTGGCCAGGGCCAGGCCTCACAGCCAGCCTTGGCCAGCCCCATGCCCAGGACTTGTCCCTGCTGCCCTGCCCTGCCCCCCATGGCTGGGACCCCCCCACTGGGCACAGCCACAGAAGGGTCTCCATGGGGCAGCACCACGAGAGCATCTCCCCTGGGCAAGGCCAGCACACCCACAGCAGAAGTGATGCCTCCATTTCTCAGGTGATGCCCCTGGGTTCTGTTGGTTACCTGACTTAATGAAACCCGAACATATCCCCTGCCAAGGGTGTGGGAGTGCAAACTCCCCATGCTGCCTCTCCTCCTGCCTACCATTCTTCCCATCTTGGCTCTCCAAAATGAAAACAAACCACATCAGTCCTGAGCCTAGCAGGCATCATGGCAAGGAACACACGACAAAGAAACCCCCCTGCAGACATAATTCTTCTTTCCACAGTCTGTCCTGCAGCACCCTACTCTTCCTGACAGGGACTAAGAGCCTGCATTTTCCTGTCTGCAGCTACAAGACCACCACAGCTACCTGTGAAAGCACGTGGAGCAGTGACAGCAGAACATCTTGGTGCTGCCTTCCATTACATGAAGGTCCTGGAAACCTGTGAGCAGGACAGAAAAAGCTGCACCTTTCCCAGAGCTGCAGGAAGCAAGGCTGCTCCCTGGCAGACTGCTGCACCATCTCTGGGCAGGACTCTGGGGAGATCTGGCATCCAGCAGTGATTCAGCTCACAAAGGCCTGTACGTATGTTAGTGTTTATTTTTAAGTGGGTGTGATCCTCCTGGCTTCTTCTCAGTGGTTTTGGAGAGAACTCCTGCCTGCACTTTGCCTTTGCTGCCGATGGGCACTTGAGCACACCTTCCCCTCCCACCTGGGAGAGCAAGCCCCAGATAGGAAAGCAGAAACACTGAGCTTTGAAAATAAATAAACAAACAGGAGGAGGTATGTTGTCAGCAGCAAGAACACTCTCCACTCCTGCAAAGAATTTCACTTGGGAGCAATAATAAGCAGGGAAAGACATTTTCTGAGCGAGCCAAACCCCTGATCTCAGGTTTCTAGATCTGATGCATATTAATTACACTGCAAATCAGCTCAGCTCCTCTGGAGCAATGAGAATAGCTGCCTGCTGCCAGCTCAACCTCTGCTCATTGTTCGTAGGTGTAAAGATGTTCTCACAGCTTACTCATCCCTGCTACCCAGAAGGATGTGGCACTGTCCTTTCCCTGCCTGGCAGCGACAGGGCACAGTCCTGACCTGACCCTCTGTCTGTCTCTGCCAGGCACTGGCAGTGTGTGAGATGAGCTCGGGCCCCAGCCCAGCACCCTGCCCAGGGCACATCTCCCCAAAACCTGAGCAGAAAGCTCAGCCATTCCATGCTGACCCAATAACCTTCACATTCCCACCTGGGGCTCAGGTGGCACTGACTTTATTTGGGTTAGTACTCCTGGGAACCAAATCCTATCACTGTCATAGACACAGTGCAATCCTGAGGCAGCAAAAAGTCCCACAAAGAGAGTTGGGTGGAAGAAGACAAGCTTGTACTTCCTAGGCCTGGCTGGAACAGAAGGAAGGAGGTCAAAGAGATATAACCCAGTCAGAGGGAAACACAGAGCTTCCCAGAACCCTTCATTCTTCTCATCCTCTTGCTTATGGGAGCTAGTTTGGAAGGTCTCCCTCCAGCAAGCAGTGGGGGTGAACTGACACAGGAGCAACCAAGCGTCTGGGGAGGAGAGCACAGGAGAAAACATTTGTGGATCAAGTCAGGAAATCTCTCCTCAATACCAGCTTTTCTTGGAAAAGAGAACTTTCATTAGGGCTGGGCAAAACAGGCATGCCCCAGGCTGCTCAGCATCCGTGGGGCTGAGGAGGGGCACTTCCAGCAAAGGGGCACATCCTCTGCTGCAGATGAGTCATCTTGCCGGGAGGTTCAGCAGGTCAGAGGGAAACAATAAAAGGATTTCCCAATGGCTTACCAGATCCCTGCCAAACCCCACAGTGTGGGAGCAAAGGGCACCTTCCTGGACCTCCTGACATGAGTCAGCCCATCCTCTCCCACCCTGGGGGAGCCAGCAGCCCCCTCAGACAGGGCTTGTGCCACTCAGAGGCCTGTGCCACCTCAGCTCTGCAGTTTTGGAACCAACACTTTGGTCAACTCCTCCCACTCAGGGCCACCAACAGCTACTCCTTTGGTGGCCACGTGTGAATTGGGGTCTCCTGAAACACAGGGTTTTTGGATGGGTGAGCCTGCTGTACGTGACACATAACAGCTCTCACGTGGGAAACCATCTCTACCTTGTTCCTAGAGTTACTCTGTTAAAGTAATCAAAGGTGCTAAAGCTTTCCTAAAATACCCTGAAATAACACTGACTACAGAAACACCAAATAAATATCCAAGAGAACATAAGATTAGGGTGAGAGAGTGACAGTGGCAGGAAAGTGGCAGAGTGATCCCCTCTCTTCCACAGAGAGTCCCCAAGACTGTCAGGTGTCCAGCACAGGAGCTCAGCTCAGCTTCAGAAATGTTCCAGGAAGTGTAGGAGAAAAATCTTGATTTTGTGTCATAATAGGCACAAGGCTTGTGCTGTTAACTTCAGTGGCTCTTGCAAAGCTCCTGTACTGGTGTAATGTAAGTTCCACATCTCTTTTCCAGGCCCTGCTTTTCTTTGCATGTTTTCATCTGCTTCTTCTCCCACCCACAGTGCTCTGAACAAAAGAGCTCTCCCTGTACCTTTTCCAGAGCTTGCTTATCCTCTTTGGATTGCCTATTGCTGTCCTCCTCCTCCTCTTACCTCTGTCATGGAGCATCTTCCCCTCCTCTGCTACCAAGCTCACGACTACCTGTGTGCTCATCTATTCATCCTACAGTGTTTTTGTGCTGTTTGCATATGATAAATCCTGCTGCTGTCACAGACTGATTAACTCCAGGAAGTGTGGCCAGCTTGTCTGAGACACATTACAAAAACTGGAATTTAAAAACCTACTCAAGCAGACCCAGAGCTGCACAAAAGGCCATCTCCCCCCTTGTGTGCTGAGGAAAGAGCTCATCTGATGTGGTGACAGCAGAGACCTGCAGCGTGCGTGGGTGAGAGCCCCGGGAAGGGCTGAGGATGTGTGAGGCACGGGGAGGAGGGGAAAACCAGGAGATGGGTATTGGCACATGTCAGTGAGGAAGAGGTGGTTTGGCTTTCTGCAGAGCGTAGGAAGAAAATGATTCCTCGTGTGTTTAAGTGTGTTGCAAGACCAGCACTGCAAAAAAAAATTAAAAATGCTCTGCCTAGGGAGTTAAACTGGCTGCTCTTTGAGCATTTTAATGGCCTCTTCCTTCTTCCCAAAGCTCCTGTCACCAGGAGCTCTCTGGCTCCAGCTGCAAGACAGAGTGTGAAGCAGCCAAGATAATTTCTGAGTGCTCTGTTGCCAACATCTGCCCAAGGCTCCAGGAGCAGTAGGCACCAGGCCCCATGCTGTGCACGGCTGTCTAAGCTTTGCTTCCAGCTTTTCAAAGGCTTCAGTTTGCACTTCTGCTTCCTTGCACATCCTTTGTCCTTGCCCTTCTCTAGCATACTTGGTTCTCTACGAAGTCAAACAGAAGCCTAAGGCAATGATAGCCAGTCCCCTGACTGCAGTTTAAAACCACATTTAGAAACACAGCAGAGCAGCTTGCCAAGCAGCCTCTCCTGTCCAGGGCAAGGACAAAGGTGTACAGTAGCTGATCTGTGATGTGATCTACTGGGCTCGTTCCCAGAAAAAGCTGCCTGTCAGCTCCCTTGTGCCTGCACTGGTGCTGATGAAACCAGACATGAAGCCACAGCCAGCAGTGACCCCAAACTCCAGGCTCCATCCCTCTGTGCCACTGTGGGATCACACAAATATCAGTATGAACACTTCAGAGAGGGTGGAAGGACACGGCCAGGGCAAGGCAGAGTGGCAGCCACCACACTCAGGTTGGTGTGAACTGCCCTGGCACAACACTCTGCAAAGAGCACCAGAGGAGCAGCAGTCGTGAAAGGGACCACCACCTCTCAAGTGAACTCTGCCATTTTTTGCTGCTTCATTAATTCCTGCTTTGCACAAATTCACTGAATTAGCTGGAAACACCAGCCTTGACCTCTGGCAGGCAAGGACACAAGCACTACAGTCATTTGTGTCTGGGCTCAGCTAAAAAAACCCAACACACAGTACCTAGAGCTGCTCTGTTAATTAGACTAGAGCAGGTTATTACTGCCCTCCTCCTGCACATGACAGTGGCACATCCTTCATCCCAATGCATTTGTTTTCCTTCTTTCCCAAGGCACCATCCCCAGTAGAACCTTAACCTCATTCCCTATTTAAACCAAGCCAACAGTGGTGCAGAAGGATAAGCAGTGACAAGAAGATGCTTCTTCCATGGCCCCAGGGGCTGGGTGACTTCACCACTCACATTCCAAGGCACAGAGTACAGGGCTACTGAGACTCCCTTCCCCTCCATGCATTTGCTTGGTTATTTGGAGGGTTAGCAAAGTGGATACCTATAGATAATTCATTAAAAACCAGTAAAAAAAGGTTAAACTATAAAAGCAGAAAGATGGGATGAAAAGAAGGGAGCAAGAGAATGTAGTGGATCAAGCTGAATGGAAACAGACTCCAAAGGGCAGAGATGCCCCCCTGGCTCCCCTGTGTTGCCAGGCTGGGGCTGAGGCTCTGCTGGCTCCTCTGTACCACAGCTCTCAGCAAAGTCTGCTGCAGTCAGCAAGGACCAAATTCTCTGTTCACAGGCTCACTCCACCAATTCTGCCTTCCCTGCTGCAGCTCTTTCTGGCCCTCTGGGGAGGGATTTTATCCCCTTTGTTCCCATCTCTTTGCACTACCTGAAATACTCATCCAGCCCAGCAAATCAAACCAATGAGAGAAACCTTCCAGTTCCTATGCATGAATCCAGATTAGAACAAAGCCTCTGGAGCCCAGCAGAAGTGGGGACTGGAGTGCAGAATGGACACCTGGCAGCACACGGGGAGCCCAGCAGGCAGGGCAGCCTGAGTCACTGCTCCCAAAGCAGGGAATCACCTCTGCAAAAGAGAACAACGCTGTGCCAATGAGCCTGTACTCTCTCCTGACCTGCACTCCCCTCCTTAGCAGCCTGTCACTAGGGAGATTAACAACTGGCTGCTTTCCCCAGTTCAAAGCAATCCTGAAAAAAAGAGCTGGAGCAAGAGGCTGGCAAAGGAGATTTGATTCCTCTCCACAACACACTCAGAGGGAAAAAATATTCCACATAAAAGGCAAGGACTGGGAAAAAAAAGATAACTGAGATCAGCACCTAAGCAATACATGAGGGGAAAAGGCTATTTTACTCTCCTTCCTTTCCACCAAGGAAACTTCAATGGGAGGAAGACAAATAATGAAAAAAGCCATCAAAGCAAGCTGGTGATTCATTAAAATAAAAAATGCATTATGCATTGAGAGCAGTCAATTAGGAGATGCAATCCACACACTGTCCTGTCACCCCAGGGGAAGCACCAGCAAGGCGAGTGGGAGGAAAGGATAAGTAGAAAAGGAAAGATTTACAGGCATAAACAAAACCCAGCTATGACCCCAAGCTGAGCAGCTCGTAGGAAGGAAGAGCCATCACTAACCCACACAGAGTAGCTGGGAGCAGATTTGTGTCTCTGCATTACTACATGGAGAGTGAACATACCTACTCTCACAAAGGGTTCAGCTGGGGCACTACTGCTTTGATTGGTGCCAAATGACTAAAGAAAATATTCATGGTCAGATTCCCAGAGTGGAAGGCAAGTCCTTTTCTCCCCCGGGCTCAGGAAAAGCTGTGTGCAGTGAGAGGGGTCAAAAAGGGTTTCCAGTCCCCCCTAGCACAGCCACAGCCCTCTCCTCTGCTGTGTCCTCTTCTTCCCTCCCCACATCACACCTGGAATCACTGCAGGACCAGTGAGAGTGTGACCAGCCCTGCTGAGCCCAGACCTGCCATGCCTCCCCTTCCTGCTTGCTAAGATCTGACAAATCCACTGCTCCAAAAAGGGATCAGCAGGATCCTCCTGAGCCCACTCCTCTCCCTGGGCTCTGGCACCTCATTAGGATTCTGCATGACACGTTTCAGAGCCTGCATCCTTCTGCATCCCTGCAATGCTGACAGACAACCAGAGCACACAAACTGCTCCCTCCCCTGCGAGGGACATTCTAGCCTGTGCTTCCTGCTATGACTCAACCAGCAGCCACTTTAACGAGGCCATCCCCTGTCAGGGAGGCACCGGTGACTGATGGCTGAGCTTCTACCTCAGCCTCCAATTGCTCGGCCCCTCCTCTTTTTTTCTCAGCTGGAGGTGTCCTCGGTCGACAAAACAAGACAATGAGCAGGACAAAGTGCACCAAATTCCCAGAAATGCAGCTTCCAGCAAACCTTTTGTCAGCTGAAAATCAGTTTAACAGCTAAAAGCAGGCATGTTTAACTGTCAGGATTTGGGAATAAATCATGAAGGTTCATGGTATCTTAGCAATCTCCTGGGATTTTTAAGAGATGTTTTTGTACTGGGTAATTTAGGTCACTGTTGATCAGCCCATGTCTGGAATGCTGCCACAGCTCTTCTTACACCTTTACTATCTGAGCTGCACCTCTCTGTGTCCAGTCTCCTACATCCTTCTCTCTCAACACTTCTCCCAGTCCTGGCCTTTCTTTATCAGGAGGGACTGAATCCCTTTTTAATGGAATTGTGAGGCAGCTGAATCAAGCTGTTGAGGAATGCACACTCCACCACAGAGCAGCTTTGTGGCCTCCCTGCACAGCACTGCAGGTGAAAGATCTGCACATCTCAGACCCTTCTGGGTGCAGCCCAGCTCCTTACAGAGCTGAGAAGGGTTATATTACACTCCTAGGAGTCAATCCACTCCCTGGCTCTCTCAGCCTGTTCCATTTGTTTTGCTTTCCAGTCATATTTACAACACTCTCCTTTAGAATAAGGATGCAGAAAATTAATTTTATGGTGAAAATGAAGGTTCTGGAAAACAGCTCTTCTTAATCTTTCATGACTTCTGATGTTTCCTCACCTTTTTCTCCTCCCAGGCTTCCCATTTGGTTTCAGTTTGCAGGTAAAATACAAATCCATTTAGTGCATGGCAATGTGCATCATAGAATGTACATATGATAAATGATTATAACAGTGCTAAGGACAAAACTCTAATCATACTTTTCCTCTCAGTTTCCAAACTGTTTTCTGAACAAAAAACAGAGGGAGCTGTACCACATCCTTTAAAGAACAAGGACACTGCATAAACTGTATCTTAGCAACAAACAGCTTAACAGCATAACTTCCTAGTCAGCTCTACAGAAAAGACATAACCAGTATTTAGAAAGTGAGAAAATATCAAGAGCAGGCAGACTCACCTCCCCCTTCTTTACAGTCATGGATTGGCGGCGAGGAGTGATCTCCTCGTTGATGCTGGACAGGAAGTTCTGGGAGATGCGCAGAGCATCCTGCAGCAGGGGATGGTCAGGGTGGCTCACAGGAGTGTGCTTGAGCAGATCCTGCCAGCAGGAACACAAACAGACAACACAGTCATGGGCAGCACTGGATGGCAGGAGAGCTCGAGCACCCCTAATCAGAACTCCATGTAGGACAAGATGCTCCAGCTTCTTCATACAGATGAGAGCAAGGCTTTATCTCTAGAAGATAAAGTGCACTTCTTGGTGACATCACTGCAAAGATAACAGCACCCTACCCATGGACTCCATCTCCTTAGTGTAAAGGGAAGAGGCTCTTATGCAGCTCAACAGGTTTATTTTTGCAGTCCTGCAGCTTCATGGAAAATGTGAAGGTCAATGAAAATAAGACAGGGGTCTAAAGTTTGAAAACTCCCCTTCAGACACTTACATGCAAGACGAGAGTGCTGCGGGTCACTCGATCCACTGGCTTGTACAACAGAGCTGTGGAAACAAAGCAGCAGGAGTATCAGGAAGAGTGAGTATGGAAGCTCCTCCTAGCATGGGCTGGCTTCTCCTCATGTGCACAAGGACAAGCACCGTGGAGCCTGATCTTGGCCAGGCTCTCTAAATGGCCCCATAAAACCATCCCTGCTGGGGCTGCATTTCTGCTATCACTGGGTAGCAGATGTTCCCTTAAAATCACAGCAGCCCCGTGGTTGGGCTGGCTGTGCCCAAAGGCACTGATGAGGTCTGAAGTCAGGAGGCACTTCCCCATGCAGGCAGCCCACTTTGCACGAGCTCTGCTACTTTGCAAGAGGGAACTGACTTCCCAGGTAGAGCCAGCAGATCCCATAACCCTCCAGCATTCAAAAAGGAAAAGGGAGGGTGGAGGTTTGGCCACAGCCCCCCCACAGTCCCGACAGACCAGTCTCCTCTCCATGGATCACTCACTTTCCAAGGAATTTTTCATCGTCTGATCTTTAGATTCCTTTGTGCTTCTGGCCTTTAGATTCTAAAAGAAAAAGAAAAACCCATGCAGGAGATGGTCAATCACCTTGAAATAGCACACTGGAACACAACAGACTATCTGCTCCTCCAGGGGAAGGCCTAGGTGTGAAAGGAGGAGAGCCCTATCACAGTGCAAGTCAGTGATGGATAAATGTGCTTTCCTTCTTGGTAAATCCACCACTGCCATGTCACAGCACCCACACACCTCAAATACTAAGCAATGTTCTTAGGAGCACCTGTCAATAGACATGCAGCAAAGCAGGGAACCACCTACAGCAACAGGGATGGGGGGTTTTTAAATCACCTGCAGAAGAAAGACATCCATAAGGACACAGCCACTGTCCCAGCACCAATAAATGAAGTATAGCATTGGCATCCAATACCCTCAGATTCTACTTCTGGTTCCTGTACTCAGAGTTGGGTGACCTTGGACACGTCAGCTCCCCCACAGCAGCAAAGGAACACTGTGTGTGACTCTGCTCTCTGCCATGGGCCATGCCATGCATTAATGTGCTCAGCTCCAAAATCCTCACCAGGACATAAATGCAGAAGTGCCATCACCATCATTCCAAATACAGTAGATACTGGCATAATTCAGAATTATTCATCAGAAACAGTGAAACTGAGAGATCATATTTTACCTCTTTCTCATAGAATTCTCAAGGGACATGTGAAATAGAATGTACTCAGGAGTTTTCTCAGAGCACTAAATGCCCTTGGGTAGTGCTCAGCTCTGATGATTTATCTGATTGTTTTTAAGGAGACATACATGAAATTCATGTTTTCTTGGCAAATGAGTTCTTCAAGAAATAATCACTGCAATTCAAAGAGTCAATGAGACTTATGCACTGCAGGGAAAGATGATGGTCTGGGAAGCCTGAAAAAATATTCAAAATGCTTTGAGACAGGTACTCCTGTGACAGGGAGGAAATTAGAGCAGGCCAAAGAATAGTATTATAGATTTATGACACACTTGCCTTTTTCAAGAGAGAATTACCCTCTCCTCTCCATGCCAGTGAAGCCTGCAATCCCACTGACAGCCACAGTGCAAGCCATTAAGGATGGCTTTTACACCACAGCCAGAATCATCATTAGCAGGAGAAATATTTCAGAAACTCACATAGAGCTTTCCCTTCTAGAAAGGCATGAAGGTGGCACAGAGCTGGAGAAGTTCAAAGCAATGCCAGTTTCTACCAGGTTCCCTGGGTGGGGACAGCACACAGAGGCTGTGTCTGACCAGCCTGAGGTACAATTCAGTGTAAGAACACGAGCTGAAGCAGGGAGTCTGTGGGAGCTCACAACTCCTGCAGAAGTTAGGGCTGCAGAGGTACTTGGAGAATAGACAGGAGTGACATGGCAGGGTATTAGTCAGAGGCAGACAGCTCGTGTGTCTGAACACCGTGACATTACCTCAGAGATTTCAGCAAACTGAGCATTGGCTTGGCAGCATTTCTCTGCTGTCTCCATAGCAACTTCATAGTTATCCACAAAGGCCCGGTACACTCCCAGCTGGCTGGCCTGCAGGAAGCAAAACAAAATATAATAAATGCTGTGGAAGAAGGCAGCTTGGGATGGTCAGTCTTGGTATCAACAATCAGGTCATGTTTCATTCAAACCAAACAACTGCAGGGAATGCTGAGCAGGTCCAGAACGACATCTCTGACCTCTCAACTTTGTCTCACCAGCACTGGTGCCCTATGCACCCAGTCCCACCCTATGCTGAACAAGTTTACTTGTGAAGGATGTGAAAGCCTATGAGAATGACACATCCTTATTTCTGACATCTATTTTTCCCTTCTGAACTGCCAGATTAGTATCTATTAATACTGCAGCTCATTGATGTAACTGGAGCTGCTGGCTTTTTGCCACAACGTATGAATAAGGGAGGAATGATTCAGCCCAACAGCACAAATGTGACCCAAGTAAGCTACTTGTTGGCCTTTGCATGATGGATATACTATATCAAACCCAGATATTACCCATATCTGCATTAGTGAGCATTATTATAAGGGCAGCAGAGTGCTGAAAATACAGAAGAGAGATCCAGAGCACAATCTGTTCAGATGGCAGTGACTGGGGCACTAGGTGACAGAAAATGGCAATTTTTCCAGCAGAAGGAATATGGAATTGGCCCAGAAGAGGATGGAACAGGCCTCAGAGTGCAGTAGTAAGTCATTATTATCACAGAGTCTTAGCACTGATCCTGTTTACTGACTTAGGAATTGCAGCCATATTCCTGCCAGAGAACACAAGATCCAGCATGGGAAATCCCTGGGTAGCCTCCAAGCTTGTCTGGAGTGCAGAGCTGGCTTTGTGCTGCAGAGCTGCCAGGCTGGGCTGGGCACAGCTCAGCAGCCAAGGGTGCAGCAAGGAGACACTGCCAGGGGGCTGCACTCACCTCAGCACCACTGCAGCCTCCCTGAGCCTGCTGCCCCACATGGGCAAGAGGCAGAGCAGGGAACTTCTCACTGCTCCTTCCCTGTCCTGCTCTCTCATAACCACTGTGCTCCCATTCCCCATGGAGCTTTGTGCAAGAGGTGATGGAAGAGAAAAAGCCACTCTCAGGACAACATCCCTGCACAAACTCTGTTAACAGGGCTGAGGAACAGCGAGCTATTTCCTAGGTCACATTTTACTGAAAGACTAGAAACCAATCTCAGCCCTTATACAAATTATACAGTTATGACTGAAGCTGAAGAAAACTGTGCTCACTTATACCAGGGATGACCCCAGCAGCTTAGAGAGAATAAAATCTGTATTTGCCACAGAGGAACAATCCTGTGAAGATGCTGCTGTCAGAATTACTGACCATTTGCAGGGCTTATGCCATTCAGATTTGGATGATGCCAGGCAACCTGGCAGAGCTTTAAAGTTTCTCCATTTCCAAGCAGTTCTTTTATTTCCTGCTACTCCTAAACAGTCGAAGCTTTCATTTTCCTCCTCTGAATGTATCATCACAAAGACATCTTTTTCATTAAAAACTGAGCTTCCAATCAAAACAAAAATGCTCACACACCATTTTTGTACTGGTTTGATGTTTTTTTCAATTTAAAAGAATCTACTTTAAATGAAACAAGTTGGTAGAAATGGCTGGCTTTTGGACTTTTTTTTTTCTGTTTCTGAGGCCTGCTTCTGAGTGAGGATGTTTGCTAAATATTTCCTCATTTCTAAAAACAGCTCTAAAGAGTTTCCTTTCTAGCTATAAAAAAATATGTACAATATATTCTCAAAAAAAGAGAAGTGCATTTCACTCCCACATGCCTGGCATCTTTTCTTTTTCTCAACAGGAAAAGGTGTAATAACAGTCCATTTGATGTTGCAAATAGATCATACTTTGTGCTAGAACACACAAAATTCTAAAACTCTTTGCATCCACTATCTGTAATTTCAATCTACTGTGCTGTTTTTTGCATAAGAGTACAGAAAATTAACGTCCCCAAGGACATCTGGATATTTCAGTGTTTATTATCAGACTGCATGACATGACCAGGAGTAAACAGTCTGCTCCAAAAGATTTGATGTACATCCAGTGTAGATGCCTTAGAAAGCCTAATGTTCTTGCTGTCTCTCTCATCCAGTTGCTTCCCAGTGCCTGCCAAGAATTATCAGCTTTATCTCACCCAGCAAAGAGTTTGTAATTCCCACCACTGCTGGACCAAACCACCCAAAACTGAAACTGCTATGCCAGCTCAAAGCCTCCTGCACCAGGGCAGTTTGCTCCTTTGTTTCCAATGCTAATCCAACAAAATCAACAACTCTGCCACCAATGCAGAAAAATCAGGGGAACCTAAGAGCAGAGGAAGGGCTGAGCTCCTGCACCCGAGATCAGCCAGCAACAAGAATTGGTGTGAAACAAAAGCCTGAGGAGCTGTGCAGTGATTAGAGGGTTCCTGGACAGCCCTGCCAAGGAACAGGTTCAGGTCTTCTCCAGTCAGTGCCATTCCCATTGCTGCACCACATGTCCAAGGCAGCTTGTGAGGCTGCCACTTCCAGCAGCCTTGTGTCTGCTTCAGCAACCAGCAGCAGCTGGGTTTGTCCTCTCAAAGCAGCTGCTCAAATTGCATACCATGAACTGTTCACCACGGCACCAACTTGACCCCTCCTGGCTAAAACATGCTGGCAGTGAAAAGCAGATTCCTGCATTTTCATCTTGAGCTGCTGGCATGTACAGAAAACATCATCTTCCAGGCCAGCTCCCCCAGCTCCATAGGGGATGGAGCTGATGCTGGGCTACACAGCTGCTAACAATGGATGGACCCTGGTAAAGCACAGTCCCCAGCCAATAAACCCCTCACTGGAATGTCACTCCTACCCTGAGAACCAGAGGCACCTCAGGAATGCAGAGCTTCTTTTCTTTTCTAAAAGGGAAAAAACAGCTCCTTTAATCCTTTGCTCTCTGCACATGCTAGGGGAGAGGCTAAAGGGACCAAAAAAACCTCCTAGAATGCAAACAATTTGTCATCTGGCTCAGAAACTCAGCAATTTTAATTCAGCCTCAGGAATATGCTGTGTATGTCTTTGTCCTTTTCTGCACTCAGAGAATTTTGTTGAGGTTGCTTGGAGGACTCTCAGCTGCAGGTTGACTGCATCAGCATAACAGCAAGGGGAATTTCTATTCAGGATAGTGGCAGGAAAGCAAAGCCAGTGGTGATGACCATAAATCAGTATCAGGTAGAGCAAAGGACTAGAGAGAGAAAGGGAAGGATGTGTGGTAGAGTTCAACAGTAATGAGGAACACTTCACTATTGGTATTAAGAAGTTCACTTTGTAATACTGCCACTCTCCCATCTCCAGGAAATGCTTTGAGGACTCTGCAGAAACCCTGGAGATTCAACATTTATGTGAAACTGCATTTATTTTACCACCACAGCTTGCTGCAGTCTTTAATTAAAGACAATGAAAGAGCCACTTTTGCTGTAGGGCCTCCACTGCAGTGGCAAAGTGAGGAGGTGAGAAACCTCTCAATTATTCCAGCCACAGACTTTGATCCCTTTGGTCTGTGCAGTCACCAAAGGGACCCTGCAGCTCCTGTGAGGGGTACCAGCACCTTTGGTGATGGCAGCTGACTCACCAGCTTCTGGAAGAGGTCCCCAACACGTTGCTGGTGACTCCACTGCTGCACTCGGGGAAAGAGCCCATCATAGAATTCTTTGTGGATCTCATAGAGCTCAGGCACTTTGAAGAATATTGTCTCAATCTGCTGACTGGTCAGCACGGGCTGGGAGGTGGTGGCAGCAGCTTTCAAAGGCTTCATAGGCTGAAATGAGGGAAGAAGGAAATCATTATCATGAGAACCATGAACGTTCACCTTTGCCACACTGCAACACATCCCTCCACAGACTTATTTTTCATCCTAATAAAAAGTGAGATTTGCATTCACACAACTCCTGAAAGCTAGACATGAACAAGTTCTCTCATGGGGATCAGCCACCACGGTAGGTGGATTTTCCCTGGATATTAATGCTGCAATTAAAATCCTTTTGCACTCCATTTCCCTAATCTCTGTCCAACTGTACAGCAGTGTGTCATAATTAGCACAGGATACTTAAAGACAGAGCTCCTGGATACTGCCACATTAACAACTCCCAAACTCTGCCACATCCAGTCCTACCTTTAAGCCTCTCTCTCTCTCTGGGGGAGGAGTGACAGGTACCTTTTGCACCCAGCAGCTCGTAACCCACGGCACGTGAAGTTCAGGGACACTCTGGATAGAGGCAGCAGTGTTTGAGCTGGCCCCTGACCCCAGCCTTACCAGCAGCAGGGCCTCCAGGTGGCTCAGGTAGGTTTCCTCACTGGCTAGGATTCCTGACAGGACCCATTTTCTCATCTCCAGGCCCTTCTCCAGGTCTGGCTCACTCTACAAAGAAGTTGGTTAAGAGAAAAAAAAAATTAAAAATTAAAGAGCGGGTTGCAGGGAGAGTAAGAAAAAACCCCAAGAATGAGGATGGAGAGTAAAAGACCATTCAGCTGACCAGAGCACACTTGCTTTTTCAATTTACTTTCAGACTAAAAACCAAACAAAAACATCCACCTGAGCTCAGCATCTTGGTTCTAGAAATATGCAAACAAAAAGCACGACATAAATTTTTATTTACCAGCAACTGATACCCTTCGATTATTTACAGGTTTTGGCTTTAGTCATCCAACTGTGGTGTCTCAATTAGGTGCCCAGACAAAATACAAAACACTAAAAATTCAGAATTCATCCTCCTAAACAAATCTCAGGGCCCTTGTTCTGTGCAATGCCCTCCCAAGCTGTGAGCAGACAGGATGACTCCTCTGCACCTGCCCAGGTGTGCCTGCACACACCACAGCCACAGCCTGCCCTGCCTCCACAGGGCTGCTCCTCCTCCTGCTCCCCACTATTCCCTAAATGATTTTTCAGTGCCAGCTTGCACAGTGTCTATTTTTAGTGAGAGCATGGAATAATCAGCATGGCTTGGAATGTACAGGCTGATTTTCTTATTGGGATTCCATGAAGGAGTTCTTAACCAAAACAACTGAAGAGAGGGGAAAAAAGGCACGTGACTATGTTCAGGGGCTAATGGGGAAGACTATGTTAAGAGAAGCAATAATCCCTGCTGTTGAATTTCAATTATCCCTCCTCTCAAAACTGTCACCTGACAAAGCATTTCACCTGATAAAGTGAAACTGAGTATTTCCAAAAACTCTAGAAAAATTTGGTCAAGCAATGAAGGTTATAAATAATGAGAAACATCTCCCTTTTACAGAGAGTCCTAGTCCCAGTTCTTTTTATTTCTGTCATTCACAGAAATAGCATTTTAAAAGTCTTGCAACCTTTTTATGTTGTTAAATGTCTCTAAGAATAGAGTCAGAAGTTGGCTCTGAAAGGGTACATGCTTTTCTAGGGATTTGGGTAGGTTTTTTGGGGCTCCATCCTACTTTTAATATCCAGAGGAATCTTCAGCTTTTGATTTCACAGTAGGAGGATCAGGAAGCAGAGCAGTACACTCCACTCTAGTGACTGAATATACAGCCCTACAGCTGCCCCCAAAACACTGCACTTAGTTTAGGGTCCTCTGCAGATGTACAGATGAGGTACCTGGGCTAGAGGTTCAGTCTGCAGGAACTATCACATCCTGAGTGTGACTTTGAGCCTACGCACAACACAAAGAAAGAAACAGATCCTCACGCTCCCAGATATTTCTGGATTCTGTCTCATCAATAACCATCCTGATTTTTGAACAGTTTCATTAAATTTCACAAGCTATATTCTAGCCTAAAAGACTTGCAGCAACTACTTCATAAAATTTTTGTGAGGCATCAAATACCACCACCTTTTATTTAAAAGTGGCAGACAGAAGCTGTTCTAAGGAAATGAGTAAGATTTACACACATGTTAGGTACTACATGGAAAGAACTTTTTTTTGCATCCCACCTTTCAGTGACATTCAGTGAGAACCACAGTGCCTTTTAAAATTTTGAAAGGGCATCTCAAAGAAGGCAGAAATTTGTAATTCACCAGTCAGTGTTCAGAAAACTTCAGAAAAACACAAGTGACAAACTACATGGTCAAATGAACACTGCACCAGACTGTGCATCCATGGAGCACCCGTGTGACTGGCACAGAAATGTTCAACAAGGCTGTGACCATTGCTTATGGTTTCTGTGCTGGGAGTGCCTGCATGTCCAGCTCATGGACATGCTGTAAGGCATGGTACACACAGGTAATTGAGACAGGCAGCCCCAGGAGGGTTAACAGAGATTGCCTTCATCCAAATAGGAAGGGATGCAGCAGCCCTGGTGCAAGAAAAACACAATTGCTCTTGGTTTCCAAAGATTTCTTACAACACTTACAAAAGAAAAAGTGCAGCTACACAAAGAAGCATTGAGAAAAACTAACAGTGCTCCAAAGTCTGCATGGCTGAGGTAACTGGTCAATATTGACACAGCACTATAATTATCTTTACCAGGTTCTCTTGGAGGAGGTGAGGATTTAAAAAGCAGCTGGGTATGTTTGTAACATCTGTAAAGAGCAGCACACAATGACAAGTTATTTAAATACAACTTAAACTTCCCCATCACGACAGTGGCACAAGAGTTTTCCTCTTCACAAGTAAAAGCTTTAATTTACAAGCCAGCTCTTGCTGGGCACCGTCAGCTGACGGAGAGGCATTTTCTGCTGGAATGTTCATTTCCTCCCGTTACAAGAGATGCGCTTTCAGAGAGACAAACATCTCCCAGGACACACTGCAGGCCTTCCTTCCTGGCCATTACCACAAGGCCACTGTGCAAAGCCCACGGTTTTGTCCTTTTTTAATAGGGGCATTTTTCCCAGTGTGATGCTCACAGAAGTGCAGCCTCGGCCACAGCCAGCCAGGACACAGGGCAGGGCCTGGCTGCTCTGTGCTCTGCACAGCAATTGCTCAAGGAGCCCTCAGGGGAGTGGATCCAACAATCACAGGGCACAGTACGAGATCTCCAATGCAGTACCTCCAATTTACATACAGCTTCCTCCAGCGTGAAAACATGATCCCCTGCCCCTGCTGTGCCAGGGATCAATGCAGCACTAGGGAGCTGCTCTGGCCATTGTGCTGCTGCTCCTGCTCCCTCCTGGGAGCCGTGTCCTGACAAGAGCTCCTGCTGAGGGAGGCCTTTGCTCACAGTGGCAGCTGGGCTGCGTGCAGCACCACGAACATCTGGAAAACAGCCCCTGTGCTTCTTCAGCCTCAGGGTCCTTTTGAGTCACACTTGTTATGAAATGTACTCCAAGACTCAGAAATTCACGTGGTGCCAAAATCAGGAGGAAGAAGAGTAAGCTTATAATTTGGTATTACAACATTCCTCACTTACAGAGCTGGGAACAGGCTCACTGCTCACCCAGAACAGGACAGCAGTGAGCAGAGACTGGGACTGTGCTCCCACCCTGCCCACACAGCAGCCAAGCTGTGATGCACTCTGGGCCAGGGGCATTTCTGCTTTGCCCGTGTCTGACACAGAAGGGAAACAAAGAGCAACGCTGACTCCAAGAGCCTCACTGCCCCTCTGTGCCAGGACAGTTAAGAGGAACACCCTGGGCAGAGGTGCCAACTCCCCACCAGTACAGGGAGACCTGCCAAGGCTGAGGACTCCTTTCCCCTACCCTGGCAAGAAGGGAGCAGCCTGAAATCTTTGAGCTGCTTGTGGCAAGTGGAGGAGCTGGTGCCACATCTACCAGAGCACAGAGTAGGGGTAAGACACCTATTACCCAAGTGCAGATGGGATGCTCCCAGCAGGAAGTGGGAGCAGCCTGTATTGGCAAATCTAACCACTCAGCAGGGAGTGCCAGGTGGTCAGCAGTCCATCCCATGCTTCCTACCCAGCTTGGTTAGCCTGCTTTCCACTTGTACAAGTCTGACTGGTATTTCATGCTCTGACTGTCCCTGCCTCTTTGATGCCCTTTCTCTATTGCCTTCCCATCTTTTGGCTACCTCTCTACCCACACGTTTCAGAATAAATCTTACAGGAATGTACCAGGGCAGCAGTCAGAGCATTCCTGTCTCCCTGCTAAGGGAGCTGTGAGCACCCAGCACCCAGCCAGATCTGCACAAACAAGAAATCAGTGCTTTGCTTCCACTCCTCATGAACTAGGTTTAAAAAGCACCAAAACAATAAGGAAGGTGGAAAGCAGGCTACAGGAAATTACACAGGTATCTCACGCCTGTAAGATTCTGCTGTTCTCCTCTCTTCTCAACTGGGTGGTGCTTTTTGCTATTCCAAAGCCTTAAAAACCAAAAGATTGAGTCACAGAGCAATCTTGCAACCTGAACCACGGTCATTGAGAGGGGTTGGAAGCTCTGGAGATATCAGAGCACACACACTGGCCCCGAGCCATGGCTGGGTTCAATGTGTTTACAGCTTGTCAGCCTAAGTGCTTGAGTTTACTAACCAGGTTGGCATCGTGTGTTGTGTTCAATTACTGTGAGGCTGACATTCACCAGCTCCAAGGTTTAGACAGATTCAGCTCTTCCTGACTCTGGTGAAAGAACTCAGGGCTTCCTGCTTCTTGTTTAAATTAACAATGATTGTTTTCTTGTGAATGTTAGAAGAGCACAGATTACGAATCTGGAAACCACAATACGTAAGATTTTACAAAGAGGTTGCTGCTGGCACAGCTCTTTAACGAGAATCAGGGATTCAAAGTGGGTGTATAAAAGGCACTTTAACTCTTCCTTTGGTACAGGGTGTTCATACACCATGCAATGAATGCATTCAAAGGCAAGCTTTCCCTTAAGGACAGCTCACAGTCTCATACAGAAGCTGACAGCCTACAAAAAGCAGAAAAACATGCAGTTCAATTTATAAAGTGTAAATATGTTTGAAAGCTTCTGTTGGAGGTGTCTCATTGTTTTGGTGATATTAAAGAGGCCAAGTTCTGTAATCAAGCCAATCATGCTCCATGTGGGGAGGGGAAGCAGCAGGGAGAAGAGCCAACATTATTTATAACATCAGTACTGGTGTGCCAGCTCTCCTCAGGAAGGGCTGTACATCCAGGCAGAGTCCTTAAGGAGCAAAGAATTGGAGAATAAAAAGGAGAAACTGCATCTGTTGGGGGTGGTGAGGGGAAAGTGACAGTAAAACAAAACAAACAATTCAAATACTGAGAGGAAGAAAGGAGAATGATTAGGAAGTGCTGGAGGGGGAAGGACAAGCTAGCAAGAGTAGTACCAATAGCAGCAGTAATCCCATTTACTGCTGTAGCTTCAGAGGTCAGCTTCTCTGATCCCCTTGGGACCAAGCTAGGAGCAAAATCCACACCCTGCTCTGCCACAGGCCTGCTCTTGCTGAGCTGGCAGACAACAGGAACAAAGGGATCTGAGGACAGGCTGCACCAACCATGGATGCACAGCAGAAAAA